GCTTTTACAATCTCAGGGTATTCAATTTTTTGTAATAATTATTTTCAAAATGACATTCTTTTTTGACCTCTTTTTTTTAGTAAACATGGAATAAAAAAAAATTCAACATTTTCAGGGGGCTTCTCAAATATTTTAGGGGACTTGAGCTCCTGCGCCCCTCCTAGACGGCTAAGTCGCGATTCGAGTTGAGTTTTTAGTAGAAAATCGACTTCTACTTTCCCGAGATGACAGCCGATTCCTAAGCCAATATTTTTAAGGAAATTTATAATATTTTATACAAAAATAATTAAAATTAGTTTTGATATTAGAGTTCATTCAATTTCGACTAAAAGTAGTCAATCAATTTGGTCGACTACGTATTTCGGAATTTTTCGAAAACTCAAGTCGTAAACTTTAATTATGAACTAGAGGAAGTAGTTCATATTTACCTCAAAAAAATAATTTATTTGATTTTTATTAAAAATAGATAAAATTAAGATTTCCGGAAGATTATACTAGTTCTTTGGTAAAAACCTCCGTTTTTTATGTATAAACCCTGTTTCTTGGTAGACACTTTGATTTTTATCGTATCATTTGATTTAGCGTCAAAATCAAATAATCAAAATTTAGCATCTTTATTTAACCAATAATTTTGCTTTGTCAAAATAACTTTTTTAACGTTATATCAGAAAATACATGAAACCCTTCAGTGAAAGGTACAATTATTATTAATAACGAAATTTAAATATATTAATTAAGCACTAAATATTGAAGAAAACTAAATGTTTAATGCTTTTATAATTTTTGTTTTGGCACGTCGCCATAATGTTTTTTATTTTTTTCCCAAATAACTTTTTATTTTTATTCGGCTACAAAAGTGATTGATGTACTAACCACTACTAAATGAAGCACTAAAGAATGATATATATATTTCATCGTTAATGCTTTCAATAGACACTTAAGCATGAAGTTGGCACACATGTTTTTATTTTTGATTATAATTTTTTTCACCTAATTTCGGCTACTGTACAGATTAGCGCACTAACAAGTGCTAACGAATCACTAAAAAAAATGGAATATAATTCATCGTTAGTGCTTCCAATCGTTCGGCCAACTTCATGGAGTTATTAAAATAGTATATTTATAATAAAACATTTAAAAAAACTTATTTATATTTTTGTATAATACTTAAAAATTACGTGACTATCCAATATTTAATATACAGTGTTGTGATGATTTAATGAAACATATTGACGATTAACTTAAAACTCATTCATATAAAATTATAATCTTTGCAAAAATAATTTAGACAAAGCAATATAGAAATTTCTTTTATTATTCCTTTTTTTATTTTAATTATTTTGCAAATATTATAATTTTATATGAATGGGTTTGAATTTGATCGTCAATATGTTTCATAAAATCATCACAACACTGTATAACAAAAACAGATGTAAAAAATATGTGATAATTTTAAAAAATTTAATATTTTTGTCAACTGTTTTGTTTTTGTTTTTGAAATTTAAATTATATTTTTATCTCCAGGCTCACTTAGTCAATCCAACTTCTTTATTATTACCCGTATAATCTCATACTTTTCTCTTTTTACCTCCTTGCAAATATTTTATTTTATCTTCTAGACCATTATACCACAGGCCATCTCCAAAATTCTTATTTATCCCTATACTTTACCTCCTTCATATACCCTATCCGCTAACTCTATCCATTTCTCTAAATTTTTAACATTATGAATTCTAACTATGGGTTATCAATATTCCCTTTCTGTTTACCCAACATCAAATTTAATTTGATATAAAAAATTAATTTTGCTATTATAATTACCCTCAAGCACCATTATTTTGTCAAAAATATATCCTTTAAATATTATAAATAATTATTATTTAGTAATAGGCGATTTTATGAATGTGTTTAAAATATGGCAAAAAAGTTTCAAAAATATACTTGAATAAAAAACGGCCTTTTTATAGCAATAATACAAAATACACCTGAGAGGTAATATATTTTTTAAGATCTTAACCCTTTTAATAGGATGCTACAGCATCCATCTACAAACAACATTTGTTGAAATGTTCAAATTCAAGGTTCAATAATTCATTTAACTGTTTATAGTTTGAACCATGGAGATAAAACTTAAGACAACTTTTTCTCACTTGTTCTAAAATCGACTACAATGTTGTATCTCCAATTTTCTAAAATTGCAGATTTAAAAAAAAGTTAGTATATATATATATAATAAAATTCTAAAAAATGGATTTGTCGTAGTTTAAATATGTTTATAATTTTAAAAAAATTCTAAATAGGTTTTCGGCAAGCAAAAACATTGTCTTTTTTTAAAATAGTTCTGAAAAATTGCAATAGAGCTGGAACCCTTCAAGAAGCGATTTTAATATTAAAATAAATCTATGAAAAGATAAATTAATGAATTAGCTATATACAATAAAACATCGAGTTTATCAAAACTCAGTATATTTTATAAAATTAAAAGAAAAAAAAAAGATAAGGATAGGACTAGCCTTGTCAACGGCACGATTTTCTAAAAACGGCAAACTAAATATTTTAGCCAAAAAATATTAAGCAAGCCTGGAGATTTTGCTCATGGATGGCTGAAATTTGCCCATTCTATTAACGAAAATCTCAAGACTTGCATAATATTAATTTTGACTAAAATCTTAATTTAAAATCGGTTAAATCTAGCCGTTCCATAACACTTGATGGGACATTCTCTACATAATATTTATACAAAAGATAATGTTTCATTTTTTGGAATAAGTTAGATCGAAAAATAGCGAACAGATATTTTTTTTGAAATTTCATTACTATGCAATTTTTTTTAAAAATCGACACTTTTTTAAATTATTTGGAAGCGCAGAGGACTGGAATTTTTATTTGACTTTTAGATACTCCGACCAGAAATTTTAATTGCAAATTTATATATAAAAGAATAAAATAAAAATCCCCAATTGCTTTGTCCTAATCTAAGAAAAAAAATTATTTTATATTTTTTTAACCCCAAAAACTGGGCATTTTAGACCAGCCATTTTTATAAAAATTATTATCTATCCATCATGTGAAAACCCTGACTATGGCCGCATTTATAGTAAACGCGTTTTGTTCAAGCGTTGCGTTATCTAACGCAGGGTTATTACAAAATTAAGCCAATAATTTGGAGCGATAAAAAATTCGCGATACCATTATAAAAATGATAGCGAATTCGATAAAAAAAATATATGATTATTCAAATATTATATAAAATAATTATCTCTATTTTAAATTTATCTTAAATTTATTTCTAAAACTGAATCAGCTGTAATAACGTTGCGTTAAATAAAGCAACACTTCGCGTTTAATATAAACACAGTGTCATTAGGAGAGAATATTTGCACTTTTAATTAGTGATCTGCATCGGGCCTAATTTTTCAAGCCCGGCCCGAACCCGAAATTTTTTAAAAAAGTTTTGCCGGCCCGGCTTAAACCCGTATTTTTTTATAAAAAATTTATCGGCCCGGCCCGAATTTATTTAAATATAGAAATCAATTTTTATAATTACTCAAAATAAAAGACATATGTTATATGTCGTTTAGTTTCAATTATACCTACAAAAATACGAATCGAATAATGGAATTATTCGTATTCGTTTAAATCGAATAATTTATTATTCGTATTCGTTTAAATCGAATAATTTATTATTCGTATTCGTATGAATAATAAAATGATTATTCGATTCGATTCGAAAATTTTATTTACCATGAATTAAAAAAGATCTATTATAAAATTTATTTTGTAAAATTTAACTAAGGATAAAGACAAACAAATTTTATTAGTGAGACAAAATAGAAGCATACATATATAATATATTTATATACAATGTGGAAAAATCAATATAATATTCATATCTGTAATGTAGAAGATAATCTGACAACAGCCAATTTTTCAAATATAAAGTTTTTCGGATTGTTTCCTCCTTTAACGACATTCTGTATTTTGTAACCATATGAGCTCCAACAGAAAAGAGTCGCTCACATGGGATTGAAGATCCCTGTATCGACAATATGTCCCTCGCCATTTTAGATAAGACGGGAAAACGGTCTCCATGTAGTTTCCACCATTCTAGTGGGTTTTTATTTGACGTTATTCTCACTTCTTTCAAATATGTGTCAATTTCAAAAATTGGCATAACATTCTGTTTAAAAATGACATCCATATTTGATTGTATTAAAGGTTTACTTTTTGATACATCATATTTAATTTTATATTCATCAAACATTTTCTCAAAATTATTAAATATAGTTGTAACGTATGGTCTTTTCTCAAAATTATTAAATATAGTTGTAACGTATGGTCTATTATGAGATAAATTAAAATGGAGTTTCAAAATTTGGCGCAATTTTCATTATTCCACTAGGAGATTTTATTAAATTGAAATAATTTCAAATAATTCCTAATAATAATATATGATTATTTTCCAATATATATTAATACTATAAATTATTTTAGTCGAATAATCTCGAATAATTCGATCGAATAATAGATAAAAAATTATTCGACGAATAATATATTTTCCTTATTCGAATTCGATTCGAATAATTGTGTTATTCGTATTCGTAAAATACGAATCGAATAACAAATAATTCGTTTTAGGTATAGTTTCAATATATAAAATCAAATATTTTTATTTTACATAAAAAATTCAATATAAAATTGATAAATTTAGATATATTTAAAAAAATTTCCAAAGTAAGACCCGACCCGGCCCGAATTTTTTAAAAAATATTAGGCCCGGCCCGAATCCGATTATTTTAAATTCGGACCGGGCCTAACTTTGCAGATCTCTACTTTTAATAATAAATTGAAATAAAATTAATGATAAGCCAATAAATTACTTGTTATAAAACAGATTATTAAATTTACCAACTCAACTAAATCTTTATATATAAAAATTTAATAATATATTTAATTATTATGAAAATGACTTTCTTTATTGGTAAATAAATATGTTGCAAGTATATTGTATAAATAGGTATAAAATTTATATAAAATAATATTAATTTATAATTCTATTTATAAATTATATATAAATACATTTTATGACATACAAATCAAATGATTCCCTTTAACTAATTTTCCAAAAAAATTAAGTATTTTTGATATTCATCGGACATCTTTTTTTAAATTTTAATACTATTTTAATCATCTAAGTCCTCTTGATAGATCATGACCATGGGGTTAGGATCGAGTGATATATTATCAGTATCGCTATATATAATAAAAGTAATTTATAATAATTATAAAATATAAATTTAGTATAACAAATTTTTACATTCTAATCTGACATTTTTGATTAAATTACACACATTATTTTTTATTCTCATTCTTCAAAAATTTATATAAGGTACAACCTAAATAAATATATGCAGAAGGATAAACAAGCAAAAAATTTATTTGGAAGATCAAAAAAGAAAATTGGAGTTTTTGAAATTGAAAAAAATTAAAGTTTTTGTAGACTAAAAAGAATCTAAAAATGCTTTTTTTAAGTGAAAAATATGTAATATGTTAATTTTTTTTTCATCAAATATTCAAAATGTATAAAAATATATATTTAAAATTATATAAACTAAAATATTTTTTAAAAAAAAGAACGGTGGGGGTTTAAAAAAATGTTTTGTCGGGCATAAAGCCAAAGATAGGGATAAAATTAAGAGATATTCGATGTCTAAAATATAAATTCTCTATAGTATCTACAGTGATCGTTGTTAACTCTTTATCTAAATTTTTTTTAAATAGAATTGCATCTTCTCCGAAGTTCCCTAATGTGCTAAGGGTAAAAAAAGTATATTTTCTAATTGCGAATATTTGTTACTTTTGGATGATTTAAAACAAAAAAATTTTTAAAAAAAATCTTTATTCAATTAAAGGATATAATGAAAAAAAGAAGGGGTAAATAATGTTTAAACAAAAACCTAATTTATAAAATATATTTTACTTTAAAAAAAATAAAAGAAATTTTAATCAACTGCTTTATATAAATTAATATATAATGTTTACTATAAATAATGTATTATCAAATTCTAACTTAAACATAGACCCGGAGTGAACCGTAACGAACCGTTAAACCATTATAAATATCAGAACCGTAACCGAACCAATATATTTATTTTTTGAAAGAAAAAGAACCTTTATAAAAAAAGGTTAAACCGGTTCAGTTTTTATATTTTATTAATCAAAAAATTTAAATATCCAGAATTATATAAACTTGCTCTTATAATACTGATGGTTCCCGCAACACAAGTTTCTGTAAAAAGAACCTTTTCGGGGCTAAAATTTGTGTTATCGTCACAATAAACAGATATGAATCCATTTATATTAGAAAATATATTTAAAAATGAGTTATTTTGAATCTTATATATTTTTTTATATATAATTCATAGATGCTTATATAATAAAAATAAATTAGACGATGGTGTTCTTCAATAAAAAAAAATTTCTAAAATGAACCATTATACACCTTTATAATTAGCTGAACCGAACCGAACCTTTGTAAATTTTTTCCTAAGAACCGTAACCATTATAATTTTTTACATACTGAACCGTGTTGTAGTTTTGTTTATTTATATATATACTAGAAGATAGCCCGTCAAAAATGACGGGGAATGAGAATTTTCTTCTTACTTTTATGATAGTTGTTACCTCTTATTTGAAAATAATATCCAATTATTATTCTTTTAATCCCCCCTCCTTCATGCCAGGTTTAATCCATTAAAACTAAGTGTAAATACTATGGTTTGGTAAAATTAAATTTAAAGCTTTTACTTGATAATACCAATATTATTTGATAAATATTACTTATCATTTATACCTAATATTTAATAATAAAAAAATTCCCAGGCAAAGTACAAAGCCATAGTAATTTTGAAAAATTCTTCCAAGCCCAGTGAATATAATAATTTTGGTAGTTGAGAACTGAAATAAAATATTTCAATAATCATAATGTTAAAAATACAATTAAAATCAGATTTTCATGGGCCTAGGTTTTTTGATAAGGCCGAGCCTAGGCCTCATAGTTAATAATAAAAAAATTCTCAAGCATTCTAGCTCATAATATTTTTGAAAAATTTTCCCCAAGCCCAGCCTAATATAATTTATAAAAATATTTTTCAAGCCCAGCCCAACCTATAAAAATTTTATAAAAAAAATTTTCCCAAGCCTGGCCAACCCATAGTAATTTTCAAAATTTTTTCCCAACCCGGGAGATAGGTAAATCTCTAAAAACCATGTCTATTTTTTATACCCCTACTTCAGAAAAAGGCCAACCCATTAAGACTGAGAATGAATACTATTTTTGAATAAAAATATATTTAAATTAGCTTTTACCTGAGGGCCATATAAATATTTTGTGTTAAATATTACACCTATGCCTAATATTAAAAAAATTCAGAAGCCATGTCCTCACACTTGGGAAAATTTTCTCAAAAAGACCATAATAATTTGATAGTTGAGAACTGAAATAAAATATATAAAAAGTCACAATGCATTTAAAAATACAATCAGAATATGAAAGTTGCATGGGCCTTGGTTTTTGATCAGGCCTGGCCTCCAAAAGAAATTTTCAGGCCAATTTCTAACCCATCTTTAAAATTAAAAAATTTTCAGGAATCTAAGACTATATTAATTTTAAAAAATGTTTCCCAAGCTACTTCCAAGCCCATATTAATTGTGAAAAATATTTACCAAACCCAGGAAAACTCAGAATAATTTATTATTTCCTTGGATCCAGAAAAATAGGTGTGATGTAGGGGTTTATAAGAATTAAATCTGTCTAATATGTATATATTTTTTTTCTGATTTAACTATCATTCTACTGGTTAGCTCCTAGTATTTACATGAAAATCATGAATACATATTAAAGTACCATGCTAAAAATATGTTCATCCTAATTTAAATTTTAAACAAACCACCACCCTTCCAAATGATTTATTACTTAGTTACAAAATATAAATTTAAATTTAAGACATTGTTATTAAATTACAATAGAAAAAATAAAAAGATATTCTAAGTTAACAAATAATAGGAGGTTAACTTTAATCATAGTCAAATTATATATAAGTAAAACAAAAAAGTTATACATTTAATCAAAAATGTTATAATAAGTTATGAAAAATATACATTCTACAATTAAATTATGAAGTTATGAGAAAATATACAAAACTATGGAATGCATGTAGAAAGGCCAATTTCAGAAAAGATAAGAGAGATGCAAATATTTACTTATGCATAAAGATTACCTAATTAAGAGATATAAAGTTGTATAAAATTTAATGTGGAATGGATCCTTCTTAAGGGTTTTAATATAAAACTCTCATTAAGCAATAATAAATTTTTAGATTATAAAATTACAAATACTAAATATATACTTTATTAAAAAAATAATGGAAAATTTTAGAATAACCCCAAATAAATATAAATTTTTAAATAACACCTCATAAGATAGGAAAATTTCTGATTCGTCCCTCATCAAATAAAAGAGAAAATTCTGATTCCCCATATAATGGTTTAAATTTTAAATTATATATAATTCAAGAATTAAAAAAGTATTTAAATAAATCTCGTACTTGAATTCGTATTTGATGCATATAAAGTTCTAAATGTATTTAATTATCTTGTGCAGGAAAATAGTTTGAATTTTAAAGTAGCTACAAACTTTGAATCGTATCTATTTGATGAATTTTGTCAGATTAAGAAAAAAAAATATTTTACCAGATTAAGAAAAAAAAACATTTGCCGGGGTTCGAACCCATTTGTAAGCGAAGTCTTGCCCGATTGGGCTATAGGCACTTTTCAAAATTAACGATTTTTTGAATATATATTATAAAGTGTGATATGAAAAGTGTGACATGATTTTTGTGACAAGGCTTTTATATATATTATAGATATATATATGATATACATGAAATCTCGAAAAAAATGATCTTTTGAATTTTTATTTTGTTAGTGGATTAATGTAAAAGAATGATCAGATGTTGCTTCGTCTATGTATTTTTAGATGTTGCTTTGTATATGTATTTTTGTGTTATAAAAAGTATATGTGATGTGGATTTTATATATATATTTTATTTTGATATGTTTGACTTCTTTAGATGTTTTGTTTATATTATTTTTTAGACTTCTATAAACTGTAACCAAACTGAACCTTATAAAGAACGGTTCGAGTCCCTGAACTTAAATAAATACTGCTCCTGGTCTACTAAGACCCAGGAAAATATACAAATATTGGAATAAAGAAATAATCGATAGACATAATTTTTGACGTATAGTAACAAGTATCGTATAAAGCATATATAATTTATTTTAAGAGTCCAATAAATGAATATTTAGACGTATCGTAATTCATAAAATAATTTTTTTCTTCATATTTCAAAACTTTTATTTTCATCATCAAAAAGAAAAGATGGATCAAAATCCATAAAAAATGTATTTCCAAATTAGAAAAGATGGATCAAAATCCATAAAAAATGTATTTTCAAAATAGAAAAGATGGATCAAAATCCATAAAAAATGTATTTTCAAAAAAAATATATTTCGAAAAAATTATATTTTTATAATTATATTTTTTCTTTTTAAATTTCAAAACTTTAATAATGAATAATTAAAAAAAATATATTTCCAAAAAAAAATATATTATTATAATAATTATTATTTTTTTTACATTAAATAATAATAATTTTTCCCCCAATCAGATGTATTCAATCCATCTGATTGACGTTATACGTTTTTAAAATAACATGCTAGGACAATAATTAGTAAAATATTGTCTCAACCGGAAAAACAAATGATCATTATAAAATTATAAAGGGAGCTTTAATGATTTCGAGATTTCATGGAGCCTATTAATACTTTGCCACTTGATGCAATTATTGTAATGGACAAAGCATCTATTCATAAATCCCATTTAATCGATGCCTACAAAGATGATTAAATACACTCCGCCATATTCACCCTAGTTTAATCACATAGAAGTTTTTTTTGGTATATTCAAAAATAAATTTCGGGCAATCACTCCTCGATCTAATTCACGAGATGAAATTATTACCAATATTAATGAGCTCTTTAATGGATTCATTCCATATGATTTTACGAACTTTTACAATCATATGCAACAATAACTAGAGTTGTTATCATGGACAGCCGATTAATTAGCTAATCTCTAATAATTAATTTATATTAATAATTTTAATTGTTTTATATTCTAAAAGGTACTTCGAAATCGAAGAACTTATGGAATCATTTTATAATATTTTGACTTTATGCAAAAAAAAATTTTTATATCTATTATTTTATCGAAATCATTATAAAATGGAATATATATCATTATTATCGAAATAAATTGATCTAAATTTAAAGAAAAGAAATCCTAAAAAATATTAATATTTAAAATTTCATAAATGATTTTTTATTCATAAAAAAATCCCAAAAGAGTTTTGCAAAAAATATTTGAAGTTTTAAAAAAAGTTAATAAATTTGAAAATTTTTTAAAAATTAATTTTATTTACGTACAATATATTTGTTAATAGGTTTTTGTTTAAACATAATTTACCCCTTCTCATTTTTCATTATACCCTTTAAATGAATAATAATAATAAAAAAATAAGATATTAAAAAAAACGCTTTGTTTAAATTTTTTATTTTTAATTAATATATCATATTTTTCTTTTCATTGTAGTTAGTTGCTAAAATATCAAAACAAATCGAATTTATTGTATTCTAGATAATAGTTTCATTTTTTTAAACCTATAATATTCACTCCAGAGGCGTCACTCGCTTTTAATAAGAGGATGCTAGCTGTTTTTTTTAAAATTATGATGTTCCGAAAATTTTATAAAAAGCCTAAATAGGGCCTTTTTGTTTTCTTATAAGTTCTAATAAATGTTTTAGCAACTTTAAATTCATCTATATTTTTAGTGTTGTAAACGGAACGCGTTCGTGAGCGAAGTTCGTTTTTTTGTAAAAAATGATGAACGGCGTTCCTTTTAAATTTGACGAACTTTGAACGTGAACGCGTTTCTTTTTTATGACGAACGCGTTCGAATTTAACGTTCGTTCAATTTTAAAAATATTTTTATTTATTTGAAAAATTTAATATTCCGATTTTTTAAAAAAATGTATTATTTTTTAATCGGCTGTGTATTTCCTTTTCACATTTAAATATTTTTAACACATAGTTTATTAATTTGAATATTTTTGTATATTTTAATTTAATAGATTAGCATAAGCATGGATATTATTATTTAATCCTCATCATCTGATTCTGAAAATCCAAAATCAGATGAATTATCATTACTATGGCCAAATATGATAAATGTAATTAAAGGAACTAATCCAATGCTTACATAGTGTAAAATGTGGCCAAAAAGTATTATATTGTCAAAATCTTCAGGTTCCAATTTAAAACGACATTTGATTTTAATATTAATTATTTGATTTTATATGATATAACTAAGTTAAATCATTAAATTTGAAGAAATAATGCATTTGGAATATTTGACCCCAACAATAACGATAGTTATTTTAAAATTATAAAAATTAGTGGCCTCAAATATGGTCAACCATTGATAGACGCCGTGTTAAATGGGATTAATAAAAGGTATTAAACTTATCACTCTCAATTAATTACATATATTTTATATTTTTAAAGATTTAAACATATATATATAAGGATCAATATGTTTTTTCTGCAATTATACATCCAGCATTTAAACTTCAATGGCCATGGATAAAACTTCCACAGAACGAACCTATTAAAAATAAACTTATAGCGTTATTGAAAAAAAATGCCTTGAAAACCCTAGAGAACTGTTAATTTCGAGATATCCTTTTTTTTGTCGGGAGTAGAGAATATATTGGAGGAGGATAACTTATCTCAATTTTTTGCAAATAACAATACAATATGTTTTTAATTAATTCTCCACGTTAAAAGAGCTGTTTATTAAGTATAATACCGAATCTGCCCCTGTAGAGCGCGTTTTTAGTATAGCTAATGCCGCATTAACTGGCAAGTGTTCCTGTCTATCAGATAAATATTTTGAAAACAATGGTTATTAAAATTTAATAAGAAAAATTTTTTATAAATAAATATATCTTTTCATTCGCTATATTATATTATAATATATTTTATTTATAATTATATTATCAAAATAAAACTATATTATTTTTTAACATGGCTAAAATATATTGTATTAAAAAATAAAGCTTATTAATATTAAATTATTTAAAAAAATTTATCATAAAATTTTGAACGGTTTTATGAACGTGAACGCGTTCCTTTTTTTTGAACATGAACTTAAACGCGTTCGATTTTTGTCAATGAACGTTGAACGCGATTGATTTTTTTAGAAATGTTTACAGCACTAATTTTTATAAATCTTTTTTATTTAGGTAGGGGGGGGGGGTGTTAATTTTTATTTTAGGGCTGCCACGTATTCCTTTACCATTTCCCTATATTTTAAACCTCAATATTAATAAATGAATCTCCAAAAATACATGTTAAAAAAATTCATAAAAATTTTAATAATTTAATACCAAAATTCCCAAACCAAAAAATTATTATTTTTCATTTTCCCAGCCCTAATATACAGACATGCGCACTCTACAAAAAAGTTGATATGTATTAATTTTTTTAAACTCATCGGTGGCAAAGTCATCGTCAATGCGAATTTTATGAGATGCTTTATGATCATTGATTTGAAGATTATCAGATTCAAAAAAGGAATAATCTATATTTTCGGCTGGAATAAAATTATCAAGAGGGTTCGAAGTATAGGAATTGATGGATTTAATGTTATGGGTATCTTGGCTAGGATTGGAATTAACTTTTTCATCAATCAAAGATGTTCTCACTTGGTCAGTTGATAAAAGTTGGGTTTTAATGGCTTTCGATTGAACTTTAGGCGAATCAGGAGAGATTGAGGATGAGGCAGCTAGCGCTATATCAAATATATAAATATAACATTAAATTATAAAATCCTTCATTTTAATCAGAGTGCAGATCTGGCCCAAACACCCTGCCCAGAACAGGCCAAAAAATGATATGATTTTAAAGGTCAGGCCGGGTTTAGTAAAATTAAAATTAATCCAATATATTAAATACTCGTGTTTCTAATTTTCCCCTTTGAAACAAATTGCAAAATATTAGCCAAGATTATTCAATATAATTTTTTTAAAATTCTGGACTGGGCTGTAAAAAAATAAAAATTCAGATTTGGTCAAAAAAAATCGCGGGACAGGTTTGAAAATTTTTTTTTTCAAGTTCGAGCCAGGCTTAAAATTTTGATTTCGGCAGGTTTCGGATTTTTATTATTTTATTCTAAAGTCTCTCATTACTTCTTTTTCTTTTAAATGTAGTATAATCCATCCATTAAATGCAAATACGGTTCGATTTTTTAGCACACATTGCCGTCTGCTAAAGTCATTTTTCAATTACTTGAGTCAAAAAAAAGTAGGGCTGTGCAGATATCAAATATCGAATCGGGCTGATACCTTTAAAAAAAAAGATCCGATCTTTTTTATTATTTTATATTGTAAGAAAGGAAGAAAGGAAGAAAGAACATTTAATATTTCAAAAGATTTTATATTTATTTTTATAAAAATGGAACGGGTTTAAACTTTTTTAAAATTTAGAATCATCGTAATGCGAAACGATGTAACGTAATCGCCGAAAAAATCATTGCGTTATCGCATTCACTGTACATAAAAATCGTTTGCGATTTTATTAATATTTTAAAATTATTATTTTTATATAATGAAAAAACTAATTTTATATAATATAAAAAACTAATTTTATTCAATATCAATGGAAGAAAAGCTGATGATCACTTAAGGTAATATACTATTATAAATTAAATATTAATTATATTTTTTTATACATCCCTTTTCTTCTAAATTACGAATATCAAAAAAAATATTTTGCAGAAGTTGCCAGGTTATTTGTACTGAATTGGTGGATATAAATATAAATCTCCAACTATGAAAGATTTTGAAATATTCTCAGCAACCAGAATATCAAATAACTAGATTTCATATTTATGAAGTCTACAAACTTAATAATTCAACAATATTATCAGAAAATATTAAAGACTCCTTCAGAACCATAATATTTGTTAAATGCTTTATTCATTTCTATCAATGTATTAATAATATACAAAACAATAAAATGAATAAATTTAAAATAATGTATAAATAAATTGCAATAGCAAAATATTATTTATTGAACAGAAGATACATAAAATATATAAAATAGTATTTATTCATCAGAATCAATATCAAAATTATATAAAAGGTTAAAAATAAAACATTTTATGTTTTTCTAACATTATAAATATTCTTGATGACATCTTTTTCTCTTGCATCATCAATTTTTCTTCATCCTCAATATTAAATCCCTGTTATGAGTTAGTGTCTTTTTTGCTTTAATTGAGGTAAAAGGAGTTACAGGAGCATATAATGATCCTTTATGTTTATACTTATAGTAAATTAAAATATTAATTTCACCATTCTTTAATGAAGAGTCATAAATTTCGGAATTATTTAATATAAGTGAATATTCATCATCAAAGGGCCCTAATATTTTTAATTAATAAACATAATATAGTATAGGGAGTTTCATACCTTTCAACAAGAGGATACCATAATCCACTCTTTTCATCAAATATAGATATTATATAATTTGATGCATTTGGCGTATATAATGATTTGTATACATGAGACTTTAATCATAAAGGCATTTATGAGACCTTACGCAATTGTTAATGGCTTCTTTATCTACCAAATTCTAAAAAAATATATATTATAACATCAAAAAAAAATTGTATTCGGATTTTTGGCGGCCATTTGTATAAGCAGCGAAAGATACAAAATGATTTGTATTTGATTTTTTAAGCAACGTTTATGCAACGACAAAAAAATCGGATCCAAAAACGCATAGCTTCACTATGAATGCATCATATAAAATAACATATTTTGTCTTTTACACAACGATTACATATGCGAAACTCAGGTCACTAAAGGTATCGACCGCTCGCCCACCTAAGTGGGTCGGCAATAATATTTTTAAGAACGGGCAGGCGGGTTAAGAAATTTTTTAAGCTATTGGCGGGGGGGGGGTTAAGAAATTTAAACAATGGGGTTAAATTTTTTTAAAAATCATTTTAGTAAATATTAATAAAAAAATGATCTTATGAACTTTTTTGGATATTAAAATGTCCTTTTTTGGTATCGTTTTTCTTAAAATAAATAAACTTTTTTGTATATTAAAACTACTCTGGTGGAAACGACAAGAAAGAGATATGCCAAAGCTATCAAGATTAGCAGAAAAAAATATTGGCAATTCCCGCAACTAGTGCTTCTTCTGATCGAGGATTTAGCATTGCTGAAAGGTTTTTAAAACAAAGAACGTATTTGAATCCAGAAAATGTTGATTCATTATTATTTTTGCATTCTAATTACATATAATATCAATTTTATATTTATATTATTTTCATAAATATTTTATCTGATCAAATAAATCATCCATAATTTAAATTGAATTCCTAAATTATAAAACTTTTTGTAGAGGTGTAATGCTGAAATTTTTTTTATTAGATGCTTAAAAATTGAACGAATGGCCATAATTAAATTTTATAATAGCGGACTTGGGTTAAAAATTTTTTATAAATAATGGGTGGTGGGTAAAAATATTTAGAATAATGGGCGGGCGGGTATATTTTCTAAAAACTATTAGCGGGCATGGGCGGGCTATTTAATTTTTTTAAAACATTGAGTGGGCGGGCCTATGGTCCAAAACCCCGCCCAATGTGACCTCTAATGCAGCCTAACTCGCCCATTTTATTATTTATACTTTAAAAAAGGATCTTTCATTTTTTTATAATAAATTTTTTTAAGATAGCATCTGAGTTATGATTTTTATTACAAAATATAATACGAATTTACCAGGAGATATAGATAGTTCACATCGTAGAATTGTCAGAAAATTTAGAGGCTCATATTTTTATTTTATAAAAATATAATATTTTTTGATATTCATAAATATATAGAAATATATACTGTTCAAAATAAAATGCATACATATTACATATATATTTTTTGATAGTTTTTCTTTTAAATTTTAGTCTTAATTGTAGAAATAAAAATATTAAAATTAAATTAAATGAATAATTCGATATTTTTGTATAAAAAATATGCATTTGGTTAAAAGGTAGATGGTAAATCAATAAAAATATCGGATCGGTTTTGAACTAGCCCCAGAAAAAGGTATTTTTTAGACAATTAGAATCAATATTCATCATAAAGAATGAGATAGTAATTTAGAAGCTTTCACTGTACTTATATATATATATATATATTATATTAAATTTTATTTATTTTTAAAAAAATAAAATGCTTATGTGATAATATCAAAATCAAGGAAGTATATTAATTGTTTAAATTAATGACTTTTGAATAATATTTTATACTTGGATCCTGCAATACGGAAGCAAAGCTTATTTTATTAACATTATTGGCATGGTTATCTTTATCTATAAGAATATTGTGATTATTTTGGCTGGAGATTTCCATTGAATTAATTTCATTAGCGTCTTTAGTGTCATTTGTATAGCTTATATTTTTTGAACCTTTAATTCTGTCAATGTACCTTTATTTGAAAAATAATCATATATGTTTAATATGATTGTTATTTAAAACAGGATTCCTATATCATAACATAGTAGTAATATTTTTTTCCTCATAATATAAAATATTAATGAACTACAAATAAATAAAACAAAAAATGATGACAAACATTATCGTCAAATTTATTACTTTTATTTTAAGAAAATATTTTAAAAAATTTACGTGTCGTAATTTTGTTCATAAGATTGGGCATGAAATTTTAACTCTTCCAATATAATCTGGATATTTTCAGAATTTGTTGCCAATTGTCTCAAGAGGGTATCTCTCTAAATATAAGACAAATATTTGAAATGCAAAATTTAAAAAAATGCACTCAAAAAATGATTTAAATGAAAGAATAACACATGACGATAACATATATAAATAATTTTTTTATTTTATACATAATTTAATAATAACTGGTGAATAGGAATCAAAATTCAATTTATTTGTATTTGTAATGTTTTTAAAAAATCATACTTTTAAAAGAAAAATTGGCGAAAATGAGATTTTATTTTTTTCTTTTTGATACAAGATAAGGATTTTAAAATATTTAATGAGTAACAAACAGCCATAAACATTTTACACATTTCTTTTGGAGAATAAAAAACAAAATACAACTTAATATTCATGATAATGCATCAAATATTGCCTTGGCCTTGACAAGAGTTATTTGTTTTGCCTTTTTATTTAATAGAAGATATCGATTTTTTATGACATTGGGTTAAATAATATTAATCTATTTTTGTAAAAAAAAATTTAATGGCAAAATTATTTCAAAAAAATAATTCGAAAGATAACTCATAGCTATTCGACCACTAATAATATTAACTATAATTAATATATAGATATTATAAAACCTGTAATTCAAGAAATGGCAGGTTGAAAAATTTGTGTATATATTTTAGTCCAAAGTTATTTTTCATTGAGCTTTCTATAACCTTAATGTGAGTAGATGCAAGGTGAGATGAACTTGTATATTTTTAAATAATTTTAAGATATTTGACTAATAAAAATGTAAAAAATTATAGGATAAAATTTAAAATAACCAAATTTTTATTACCTATTATGCCACTTCATTGATATGTGAATTATTTTAAACTTATTTAAAAAATAATCATTAAATATAAATTTTTTTCAAGACCCTTATAATTATAAAATAGCGATATGCAATGAACATAAAATAATATGCATTCTTATATCTAAATTTAAAAAAAATATATAATTTAAAATATGCAACTCGAATCAAAATTATCGCCCTACTATGCTAAAATATCATTATTTTTGCTCAGTGTATTAAAAGTATCTACTTCTGCTTTTATAAATGCCGATAATTTTTGTCATATTGAATAAATAAAGTTGTAATACATATTATAGGATATCGATTTTCATGTTCTAATTTATTCTCAAAGAATCCTTTGCTTTCTATGCTACTTTTAAGCTTTCATATGAGTAATTTCCATATGTGTATGTTTTAAATAAGATTGAAATCTGGGGTTTAGTAAAAGATGGATATTATGATAGTATTTCAGAAATCAATCATGTTTCATAAACCTCTTTCAAATCTAATGAAATTTTGCATGATAATTAAATATGTTGTGATAGCCTATGCAATTTAATTTTTTAAGAGATAATTTAATTAGTTCCAGAGATATGGCAGGTCATAGCAAAAAAAATGGTGCTTTCTATTCGGAGAATATCATATTGAATGTAATTTTTGTTGTAGAAATCTCATAAAATCATAGTTTTGAAGAAGATATATGCCAATTTTGGTACCATTTTTATAGAATCATATACCTTTTTGAATTATAAATCTTTAGACATCCTCTATTTTGAGTAGGTTCAAGCACCTGATATTTTTATGTAAAATATCTCTATTACCAGATTGACTTATAATTTTGCTATCTTTTTGCCAAAATTTCCTATATTAGATGAATTAATGATGATCTCACATATTGGATATTCAAGGTCACCTCATTCATTTGAAAAAAAACTTAAAGATAATTTTAAAAATAAGCAGGCAGTAGTAGGGTTGTGCTAACATCAAATATCAGATTGAGGTCAATATTTTCAAAAAACATATACAATAAAATATTTTTATTACATTTGATTGTGATAATAATAAGATTATTTTATAACATATTTAATTTTGTAATAATAATAAATAAATAAAAGGAATCAAAAATTTATTTGTAATGTTTATAAAAAATCAAATTATTTTAAAATAAAAATATAAAGTTATAGTTCATATTGAACTAGTGTTGTCAAACCCCTCGTTTGATATTAGCCCAAAAATAAACTATGCTTGGAGATTTTGCCCACAGATGGTGGAAAGGTGTGGACATATATCGACGAAATTTTAAAGAATATGTAATAATAATTTGACTAAAATTTTGATTTAGCTGTTTTATAAAATTGGTCAAATCGAGGGTTTAACAATATCACATTTAACCATAAACATTGCCCATATTTTAAATGTGAAACTTTTGGAGAAAACAAAATACACTATATATCATTATAAAAAGTTGGTTGGTTATTTTTTTTATGGCATTTGTTCAAGAATAAATGGTACATAAAAATAAATCAATCGGCAGGTTTTTAGTCAAAAATCCCACTGGTTGTTTATTTATTTTAATCCACACACTAGCCCATTTATAATTTTTTTTAATTTTACACACCCTACCACCTATTTATCTATAAAATTTGTTCACCCCCTCCCTTCCTTCCCCACCTAATGTTTAAAAATTATTTTAATGACTGGTTTGGCTCTTTATTTATTTATTTTTAATTAAACATATATAATATGCAATATTATGAAATAAAACTATTATTTTTAATAAATTGTAGTCTGTTCTGCTCATTTCGCCTAAAAAATATTAAATTTACCCATCCATTATTTTAAAATTCAATTTAACCCAAAAATATTTTTAAAACTCCGATCACACCCACCAGAAATATGGGTGGAAGGCTAAAAATTTGCCCAATGCAGACCTCTACTATAGACAATAGTATATTTTTAAAAATAAGAAAAATAATATCTTTTAAATAAATTGTCATTAAAAAATAAATATAAATTTTAAAAATAAATAATTATTTATCATAATCATGCAGTATTGGCCATGAATTTTTGAATAATTTGAAATTGAAACTGATTTATTTCATAGTTAATTATTTTTGTTAGAGATGGTGGATTAGCACTCTTTGACTATAAGTCCAAAGAGAATTTTAGCTTCAGGTGTTTGATACATCTAATGGGATAAATATTTTATTGACAGATTTGTGGGAATACTTTAGGCTTCTCTTTCTATCAGCAAATCCAAGTAGATCATATTTGCCATGTAGCCAAAAATTTGATACAGGTGAAGTCTTGATGGGTGAACATTTTGGTCTTAGTGACTATACATAAAGTGACATTTTTTTAAAAAAAACCATATTTCTATTATAATTTGTAAAAATTAATTCTCAGTAAATTTTTTTGTAAATTAAAAATTAAAGGTAAACAAATATCAATGAGGTAGGGTAATAAATCTTTTTTGTTTTTTGAATAATTTTTAATTGGTAAATTATTTACACATTTTGTCTCTCCCTGATATAGGATGTTATTTCTTCAAAATCAATTGCTCTTTTATGCTGTAAATCTTTTTTGTTGGCAAGAATCAAGATTGGGATAGCAAATGGAATTTTGTCTAATTCATTTTTCATGTAATTTAGTGTCCTAATATAAAATCTAGAATCTAGTAAATTAAGAAATTACCATTTTCTAGTAATATCCAGCATTATAATAACACCTTGTGCTCCCTTGTATACATCAATTAATTCTGCATCTAGTGTTGCCTCACCATTTAATAATTTGTCCTTAATATTTTAATTATATTTATATTATATGCATTATAAATATACTTACAGGTATATTATCATTTTGTAATTTTAAACTACATTTCTGGGTATGATTAAACGTGGCATTTAATTTTTTACCCTTATCAACAACATCCCATATTTCAACCTTGACTATATTTTCAGTATTTTTGTAATTCCAATTGATATTTACAATCTATAAAGATTGTTAACATTGTATTATTTGTTATAAGAGAATCAAAAGTTGTTTATTTGTTAAAAGCAAAATAAAAAATTATAATTAAATTTAAGACTTGAATTTCTGAAGTAGGTGTATATTGTTCAATAAAGTTTTTTCCTTGCAATCTATAATATAAACAAGATTTGCCAACATTTCTATCCCCTTTAACCAAAATTTTCACTATTTTGTAAAAAAATAAATAAACAGGGTTGTACAATCAATTTATATTGTGAAGAGAAACTATTATAATGGACTCCACGAGAATATTTCTGCTGCAAACTTGGCCCCATCGTCTGAATATTTGCGCCATTTCCTACTGATTTTGGAGAAGGTGACTTAAGTGTGGGAGAATTTTGTGCTACAACTAACTTCTTAAAAGCTCCTAACATCTAGCACATTGATACTGATACGGTGTAACTAAACTGAGAATTGATAGGTAAACTGAGAATAGACAGGTAAACTAAGAATTGACAGGTAAAATTTATTTTAATTTTATAGCCTATCAATTTTATTTTAAAAATATAAATAAAATGTTTTTATTATATAAATCAAATTTATCCAACATTAATTTTATCTAAATAAATAAAATAGAATATAGAAGAACTAGTAGTCCATAAAATTTTAATATGTTGTTAAATATGTTGATCGATGTTATTATATTATTTATTTGGGCAATTGATTTATTTATATTATATCAATTTGTATTTAAATTTAATCGGTGAAAATTTTACATTAACATTTTTTTATACATCAATTTGTATTAGTTATTTTTTTTATTATTGTTTAAAAAAAGAAATATAAAGATATAAAAAAATGTAATTGAGGTGGAAAAATAAAAATGTAATTTATCATATAATAAAATTTAAATTATGATTTATAATAAAATGATAATCAATGAAAAATGTGTAATAATTATCTATGATAAAACGTGGAAATAACTCAATTCCAACATGGAGGCCAATCTACGCCTGAACTCTGCGTATGTATTATCTCAAAATTGGAACTTGATTTTGCAATGTACATTTATTCTATTTTACACCTTTATCGATTATAATTCTCTTACGATGGATGCTTTGAACAATTCCACATTCACATATATGACTGAATTTGCCAAGCTGGATATCTCCAAATTTGGTAGCGATGACAGCGCCTACATAGGGAAATGAAGAATTTTTTCAACACCAGCAAGATCTCCAAAGGAGAAAAGGCCCCTTTATTTCTCCGAAGTCTTTCTGATGACGAATTCAATAATGTTGGGGCAATTTGCACTGAGGAAGACTTCCTGGACCCAATAGCCCTGCTTGGCAAATTGAAGTTACAACATCCATCGAAGACCGAGAACGCTAAACTATTAATATTTTATGCTGCAACTCAAGGCAAGGATGAGACATTTTCGGCTTGGGTCACGCGTGTAGCACGACTCAATAAAAAATGTAAATTTAATGGCATTCAGAGAATTATTGAGAAAGTGAGAGTATCTTCGTATTCCAAAGATGTCAGGAAAGCGGTCAAGAGCTCTATGACCATAGAAGACATTTACAATCTAGGTCTAGAGGAAGACACCGCGGACCCAAGTGGCATCAAGGGCTAGATGAAATTGTAACATTTGAATGAATCACCTGGTGTACAAGAGGGTAATCACCTGGGCAGAGTCAAGATAGTTACGTAACAACAAAACCCATTCAGGACTCTCACGCACATGATAAATCTCTTATCATACAACCCCAGTTTATCAATGACATTCGATGAACGTTACGATTGACGCTGTGACTATTGCCGTGACAAACGATTTGATGAACGTTACGATATACGCTACGACAACGACAAATTATTCAACGGACGCTACGACAACTACAGCGACAAACGATTCAACGGACGGCACAGCAACTTCCACGACAATCGTTTTGATCAAAGCTACGATAATTGTCATTATAACCGCAACCGTTTCGATAATCGCAACGATAACTACTACGACGATCGTTACAACAATAGCGGGTACAACGTCCATGGCAATCGCCACGACTCTCATTGTGAACATTATCAGAGCCCTGATCGACTAGATGACTGCTATAGAGGTGATAGGTTTTCAGAAATATTCGTCAAGGCCCAACCAGTACAAAAATGACAATAATATTTACAATAGATCTTCTGATAACAAAGATCGTGATGTAATCGATGATGACGACAACTCAAACACAGACCTTAACGAATATAATCTGCAGAATTTGGAAGTGTACAATATGGGGGTCAAGGATACAACATATGACGCGTACAACGTGACAGTGAGCATCAACAACATACCCACGTTAATGCAAGTCGACACCGGTACCAAGTACAGTATACTTCCGAAGCTGACAGCTAAGACTGTATGAATAACCGCGATACGTAAGACGGACATGAGACTCACTGGTTATGACGGCAGGGCTATCAAGATATTAGGTCTTGCCAATGTGAACGTTAAGTATGAAGGAAACTCACATACACTGGAGGCCATTGTAGTGGATTGTGATAAGATCCCCCTGCTAGGACGTGGCTCCACACCTTCAACAACATTTTAAAAACGTTCTTAGTGGGTAATGTAGAGAATAATCTCGAGAAGACAATCTTGACAACAAAAAAAGACCTCGAATCAACTTACTCCTACAAACCCAAAATGGTCAGACAAGAAAAAGTTCACTTGAAGCCCGATGCTGTGCCTAAGATCATACCTCAGGGAGAATTCCGTGCTCCAAGATCGATGCAACGACTCAGAAATTGGATTGCTGGCTGAAGCACGACAAAATAAACTTGCTCGAAAGGAATCATGCCATGCACAAGTGATCCGGTTTGGATATTAGCTAGGGGTTGTCTTTACTTTACCAAGCCATCGTTCGGTTTGAAAAGAAGACTGCACCATGAACATGGGTGGCGTATTGCGTGGTGATCATGAATGTTAATGACGTTACCACTCAACTTATCCAAGGAAATCATAAGCTTTCAACGATTATTTAAATAGTGAGATATAGTGATAATTTAAATAATAATGATATGATTTATTATGAAAAATGTTGAATATGTTGATCCATGTTATTTTATTATTAATTTTGGCAATTGATTTTTTTTTTATATATCAATTTGTATTAAAATTTAATCGGTGAAAATTTTATATTAACATTTTTTTTTATACATCTATTTGTATTAGTTATTTTTTTTTATTATTGTTTAAAAAAAAGATATATAAAGGGATAAAAAAAAATGTAATGGATCATGGAAAATAAAAATGTAATTTATCATATAATAAAATTTAAATTATGATTTAAAATAAAATGATAATCAATGATGTGTATTAATTATCTATGATAAAACGTGGAAATAACTCAATTCCAACATATGTATACATTGCGCAGCTAGGATTGATCCATGGGGGAATTTTAAAAATTTGCCAATATTTTGTGCTTTCAAACCCATTTTAATTTGCCAATATTTTGTACTTTATTAGTGTCTAACCACTATAGTAGCCTGCATAAATGAAAAAAATTTTGGCCAAATTTATGATTAATACGTGACTGAAAGCATTATTTTGATTTTATCAATGTTTAGTAAATTGTAAATTAATTCACTTCATTCGGTGTAGAAAGAAGAAACCCCCCACCTTCAAACCTCTAATTTTTTATGATCACTCAATATATCTTATTCTAACACAAAATTTTGCAGAGAATTTCATTATAGATTTTATTTATTATTAAAATACTTTAGTATAAATAACACTCTTTATTATAACTATGTATTTATTTTAATGATAATATGCAATAAAATAAATTTCAAAATATAGAAATTTATAGAGATTATTTTAAAAATTTATTGTAAATAACTATATTTTAAAAAAATAAAATTACAATAAAATATGAGTAATTCTTGTACGGTATTTAAAAAAAATCTAATTTAACACTTATAATTAATAAAAATGAGTATATTAACAAAATATAAATAATTCTTATTAGAGATCTGCAAATAGGTATATTGGGTTCGGCTGGGTGGGGCCTAATATTTTTTTAAAAAAATCGGGCCGGGTTGGGTCGGGTTTTGGAATTTTTTTTATATATAACAATTTTATGTTAAATTTTTTATATAAAAAATATTTTATTATTTATAAAAATTTAGACGCCATATAACATATATTTTTTATTTTGAGTAATTATAAAAATGAATTTCTATATTTAAAATTTCTTAATTCACTTTTTTTTATCATTATGAAATTTTATTAAAAAATTAAAAATATTTTTAACCATAATAACCAAAATAAAATATAAACTAAAAATGATAATAAATAATAATAAAATTCAGGAATTTTAAATATTTTAAAAAAAATTAATTCTTATTTATTCACTTTTATAGAATTTTTTATCATTTTGAAAAAAAATTAAGATTAAATTTTATTAAAATATATTTTAAAAAGAAACATATGTATAGCTAAAAATATTTTTTCCGCGTGGGTTATTTTTCGACAGTGTAACTAAAAAGCTGAATTTTAGGACTCATAACAGGACTATATTATAGCTAAGTCGAATCGGGTAAACTAATTAAAAACACTATTTCTAGTACTAGTGTTGTTAAACGGCTTGATTGAGTCGATTTTTAAAAACGGCTAACTCAATATTTTACCCAGAATAATATTTCATTAGCCTCGAGATTTCACTAATAGATGTTCAAACCTTCCATCTATGGGAGAAATCTTCATGCTTACGTAATATTTTTTTATATAAAATATTGAGTTAGCCGTTTTTAAAAATCGGCTCAAAACGAGAACAACACTATCTAGTATGGTATAAGTCAAACATTTTCAAATATGACATATTTGTTCTTCGATCAAATTTAGACTTATATTTTAAATCTCGCGTTCCTTGCGTAATTATTATGGTAATTATATTATTATTATCTAGGAGAAATATTAATAAATTGAATTTTGTCAATTTTAAGATGTTATATTTTTTTATAAATATATTAAAAGTATATATTTTTTTATGATTGTTTGAAATTTAACTAATTTTCAAATATAATATATGATATTTTTAATTTATATACGGTAGTATATAAATTACTTATAAAAATACTTTAATTTACACATTTTAAACTAAAGAGTAAAGAAATTTTATTTAAATTTTCTATAAAATATATTCAAAAGATTTTTCGTAAATATAATAATGATATTTAGAGTTTGAGAGATAGATGTTAAAATGATATATTCCGAGTATCGTTATTATCTTCGGATTTTGGAACCAAAGAAGGGTTTAGATTCGCGATAACTTTTCTTGATATTCTGATCTTACCGGTTACAGGATCCCTGCCAAAATATTTTACCATTATTTCTTGGCCTATTTCTAACCCCAAGGCACTCGGATGATTAATCTATAAATTAAAACATTAGATATAATTAGGTTTGATAATTCATAATAAAAATTATATTATATATATTAGAATCTAACGTTAAAATTCATTTGACAACTAAAAATAAAGTTTACAATATCCACTAGTGATTATTTTTGTACATTACAATATCTTTAAAATGTCGACTGTTAAGCCTGAAATATAGGGAACTAAATTCAGAATTTGATATTTTAAATTATATTAACAGAAATCTTTTATTTAAAATTTAATATCTGGCGAATTAACCTACAATACTTGTTCTCATATGTACCATTTATAAAATAATTAATTTCGCAAAATAAGATTATAACATTGGCACAACCGTATCTACCTACCATCAATACTAAAGTATTAAAAAATAACTCTCAAAATTATACCTTCCGAGTATCCAGCTGAGAATTATGAAGCAGAGTTGGATGCATTGTAGGATGCAATAAAACCATGACCCCTATATCTCTAATCTCCACTATTTTGGCATGTAAGATAGAACCGAATTCAAAAGTCGGTTCTGTCGACGAACTAAGGGTATCCGATAGCAATTCCTTGATTCGCTCTCTAACCTCATCCATGGCAATTTTATTAGGGGCAAAAAGCGAAAAGGTTGTCTCGTCAATGGGGGATATTTGCACGCCTTTGTGCAATTATTAAATTTATTTTGAAAATACTGAAAAATGTCTAATTATAAAGGCACTTTTAGTATACTACTGGAAAAAGATTAATAAACATTACTCGATTAAAGCGCTGTTAAAGGTAGATCGAAGTATCAGCGATATTGGATTCCTTAATTTTAGCAAATTGCCTGAATTTTTTATCTTTAAAAAATAAAGATCATATTCGAGATCCTTTTCCAACTATTAATCCATCTTTTTAGATTAGTTTAAATCTTATTAATTAATTTTTTTTTAAAACCTAGCTTCCAATTTTTGATTTAACCAAAATTTCAAAATTTCTACATTTTTTTATTAACTTACAATGTAAATCGAATCAAAACAAAATCATATCCAGAACGATTTAACCAAAAAATGCCTCATTAAAAATTGGTCATTTTATTATCGGCAATGTAAAAGGATCAAGATCTATTTAAAAAAAGTTTTCTGGATCGCGATTCGATTCTTTTATATAATCCAAGCCGGATTGATTCTAGAAATGATAGTCATTTTAATATTTAATAATATTAGTTTAATATTATATTTTAAATTTAATTTGTTTATTCGATCTGAAGCATTGTAATATACAGGGTTCACTGCTATTTCGAAAAGAAACTCTTATTATGAGAGCAAAATATGTAAACAACATTTTTTATAATTTTTTCTCAATCAATTAGAATATCATCGAAATAAAAAGTTTAAAAAAATGTGATTACCCCATATTTACGATTCTTTCGAACAAATTTCCATTTAAAATGAAACACTTTTACATATAATTTATTCAATAAAATTAGCTGAACCTATAAAAATTATTTTAAAAAATTGTAAATAAATTTATTTGCTTAAAATAATTTTGTACATTAAAAGTATTGTAAATAAATATATAAAAAAATACTCGAAATAAGATATATTTTTTTAATAAAAAGAATATCTATAAACTTTTTTAATAAAAAGAATCCTTATTTTTTACAAGAATAATTTTGCCATATAAGATTTGGAAGAATCAAATTCTTTTAATGAGGGAGGTTTGAAAGAATGGCATCACGTAATTTTATTTTCTAAATTGGCTATCATTGTGTCATCCTAAAAGTACTAAAGGAAATTTGTTCATTGATATATAAAATATCAATCAAAAAATGTAATCGCATGTGCATAATTATTTGAAACTTGGAGAAGGAACATATTTTATTGATGAATATTTTTTTAAAATGAATATATAAATCTAATAATTAAAACAATAAAAAAAATTTCATATGTATTAAATATGAATTATTTCGCTATAAATTAATTTTCTTAAAGATTATTACAATTATTATGCAATACCATTGATGCATTATTTAAAGCAAATAAATTTATTAAAATTTTTTAAAATTAAATATGATATACAGCGGATTTTTATTGAATAAATCATATGTTAAGTGTATTTTTATTTCTTAATAAATGATCGTTAGAATGATTTACGAAAGAATGGTAAAAATAAAGGTAATGATATATTTTTATTATTCTTTTTAGGATGCTCGAATTGAATGAGATTTAAAGTATTTTATGCTCTCATAATAACAGTTTCAATATTTGAAAACAAGGGTACACCCATATTTAGCAAATTTTTTTGAAATCATATATGTTCTGTTAATATAATATAGTTCTTATATATATATTCACCTGTATCAGAAACCAATTTTTTAACGTTGTAACCCCCGTAACCCATAAATTTTGCCCGCTTAGCTAGAGGTATCACCAATTTTTCGGAAAGAGGCTTATTTTCTTTATCATTTTTAGGGATGGCTAAAGTAGAGTTCATTATTTTTAGAATTTTAAGTTTAGCTAAACGGCTTCGTTCCAGAGCTTCTTGAATTATTAATAAAGGAACACCAGGGATTTTAATATCCGCCTTTGTTAAATATTTAAGAATTTTTTGAAAATCATATATCCATAATTATTTTCAATTATACACTTGGATTTAATTAAGACATATTCATTTATCTAGTATCTATTTGTTAACCCATCTTTAGAGTTTAACAGGTTATCATAGGATTTGCTAAAATTACCTCTATAAAATGGAGTAAAGGTATGTAACGTGAATCCTATCACTTACCCTAGAGATCGGTGTGGTCCAACTTGAGTAAAAAGATATTTGAGCAGGACTTGCAACTTTTACAAAATATCTTAATAGCCTAAGGCGGAATTTCAAAATTATTTCAAAGATCATAATTAGATAAATGTCCTTTTCCTTCACAAAAATTTTAGCCGAACAGCTTGTACAAAATTATTATACAATTCGGGTGGGCTTAAAAACTTTTTCAAACATCTTTATAAGGCAAATATGATGTGTGTGCAAGATATGAGTTAGAAAAAAAGTTGGAAAAATGATTTGCAGGCTTGGTAGATAAAATAAATTTTTGGACTAGGATGTGGAAGGGGGGGGGGCGGGTGGCAAGAAAAAGTGGTGGACATTTATGGTAGCGAACAGGCTGAGAAAGCGTTTAGTATTTGTAAAAATGATCATAAGAAAAAAGTGGAGGCCCTATAAGTTGACAAATGCGAAAAAAAATTGAAAAATCATATAGAAAACTATCTTACTTTATAAAAACAAAATATTAATACTTATTAAAATAAAATAAGTAGTGTTATACTGTACAATAAAATATCTTCATTATAAATATCATAAGAAAATATATTTTTAATTAGATAGAGTATCACTTGAAGAGCTGTAATCCCTTTCTTAGTGCCGGCTATCTTAAAATCCATGTCGCCAAAATAGTCTTCGATACCCTTTAAAAAATTTAAAGATTAAAAAAAATTATTCATATCTGTTCCTGATATTATACAAAACATTAATAAAATATTTTAGATATTCACTATTACTTTAAAATATGAAAATTATACGGAATTAATACAACTAGTGTTGTCAAAAACCTGATTTAGGCGATTTTAGAAAAAGGCTACATCAAAGATTAGCCAAAAAACATAATCTAAGCTTCAATATTAGGTCAAAAGAGGGCTAAATCTTTCTACCATCAAAATCTCAGGGCTTAGGTAATATTTTTTTGGAAAATCTTGATATTGCTGTTTTTGACAATCCCTAATTCAACTAGTAAGTAAAGGTTGAATTTTAATGTGCAGACGCTCGTAAAATCTAAATTTTTGGAATCAACATCACCCATTTTCTTTAAAATATATCTAAAAATAAAAAGTGTTGTCTTAAAATAACTTTCAAAAGTTATTGTTATAAAACTTAAGTTTTCTAACATTATTTATTATATTAAATATATTATAAATTGAAAAACGTTAAAATTTTTTAGCCTATTGAGAAATGTTATTCTAAAAAAATCGGATCGGACCTGGTTTAAAAAAAAATAGAAAATGGGAGATTCACTTATTTAATTAAAAAAAAAGAATAGGCAGAACTCTACCCTGAACTTTATCCTCCGATTATCATCATGATCAGAACAAAAAATCTTGTAACATATTCTCAATTTTTGTATAAAACAAACTGAAAAAAACCTACTATCAATTCGACTTTCTTTCAATCTTAGGTGACGTTAAAATAATTTAAATGTATATTATTGGTGACTACAAAATTATAATTAATAACAAAAATTCTGACCAAAATATCCGTCAATATTTTGTAATTAAACTCTTTTTCCTTCGATTTTATGTCAAAAGAACTAGCATTCGATTCCATCTCGTGTGCATAATCAGTGACTAGCCCTATAGCCACACCCGCAATGGGAGAACTTATGTCAACTCCTGCATCCATGAGGGCTAAGCTACCACCACAGCATGTAGCCATCGAAGAGGACCCTTATATTTTTGTAAAATAAATTAAAATAATATGTTTAAAAAAAAATATGACCGCTGTAATTATAATGTATAAAAATTTATAATTTCCTTGATATGTTTTTAGTTTTCATTATTATGTTATTTCATTGAATGAAATTATGTTTATATCAGTGACGAAGCGCCAAGTTTACTACTAGGGAAGCAATTGAAATTTTTTATTATTATTTATTAGTTAAATCATAAAAAAATTAAAATATAAAATAAGTAGAATTGGTCTTTGTTTTTGAGTAAAATGATCAAGTACCGAATTACAAAAATTATTGCTAGATTTAAAATTTTTTTATAAGTTTTTTTTCAATCGAAATCAAAAATAGATTTAAATTTTTTTTTACATTAAACTCATAATTTATTCATTAAAAGTTAGCGGAATATCTATAAAATTATTTTACAAAATTTTAAATAAATTTATTTGCTTAAAATAAGTTTGTCATCAATGGTATTGTTTATAATTAATGAGCTTCATAGCTAAGCAAGGATTTATAAATTCATTTGCATGATATAAATATCCTTTAGAGTCTTGAACTGATTGTCGTATTAGGATACGGAATCTTGAATCCCCGCGTTTTATTCGGAATATTTTTTTTAAACTTTAATTATATTTTATTTTCTTCCTTTTTTAGCCGTCTGGCTAGCACCAGAAAATTTTATTTTTTAGAGATTTTATTTTCTGTTTTTGTAAATTTATATAAAATAAAATCATAAATATTTTCATATAAATATATATTTTTAAAAAATCCGAATTATAAAAAATTATTTTTTGCAACTCATTTTGCAAATGCATAACATTATCTTCCCATAGTTTGTGACATTCCGGGAAGCTCCTAAATATTTTTAGCAGTTTAAATAAAAAATTATTATATTTTATATACATCAATTAATTTGAGTAGTATATGGTTACTATAAAAAAAACTTAAATTACCTATGATTGATATATTTTTGTTGTGAACTTAAAATATCAGGCAATAAATGTGTTGAAATTCTTCCAGCACACGTTCCTACCCATATTTTAATTTGTTCAATTTTCAATACTTTCACTTTTAAATTTAAGATATTATTTCTATCTATACTATTTATAGGAATAACACGTGGTCACCTAATAAAGTTATTTTGTACAATTATTTGAGAATAAATTAAGCCCACAATAATTTAAATATGATATAAAAGAAAGGCCCTTTTTAAAATATTAAAACTATCCCTAATATTATTGGTAGCACAACTATTTTTCCATGTATAAATTATCAATAAATTTATTTTTATTAAGAATTAATAGTCGTATTGGGCGGGATTTTTTTTCATAGAATTTCTAAATTATTACATTTTGATAATTTATTTTTACCTTTGTGAATTTATATTGATATTATATATATGAAACTTAATTTATTCTCAAATAATTGGACAAAATAACTTTATATTAAGTGATCACATGTTATTACATATTCATAGGACAGATAGAACTATTATCTGTCCTAAAAATTTAGGGAAGGTAATAAAAATTGAACAAAATAAAATATGGGTAGGAATGTGTGCTGGAAGAATTTCAACCCATTTATTACCTCTAGTATATAAAACTATAAAATTAAATGATTTTTAAGTTCCCAACAAAGATATATCAATCATAGATAATTTAAGTTATTTTAATAGTAACCACATATACTCCTCAAATTAATTGATGTACATAAAATATATTAATTTTTTATTTAAACTGCTAAAATTATTTAGGAGCTTCCCGGAATGTCACAAACTATGGGAAAACATCGTTTATGCAATTGCAAAATGAGTTGCAATAAATAATTTTTCATAATTCAGATTTTTTAAAATATATATTCAGGTGAAAATATTTATGATTTTATTTTATATAAATTTATAAAAACAGAAAATAAAATATCTCTAAAAAATGAAATTTTGTGGTGCCAGCCAGACGGCAAAAAAAGAAAGAAAGAAAATATAATTTAAAAGTTGTAAAAAAAAGATTCCGAATAAAAAGTGGGGATTCAAGATCTCGAATTCCCAATATAACATATATATTTTAGTCTTAATATTTTTATAATATATATTTATTTAAATTATATGTTCATATATATGAGATAAAATTTGAACTTAAATATTTTTATTTTTTTAGATAAAAAAGCGTTAAATAAAAGTATATCAAAATGTATCTATAGCAGATACCTCTGAAATAGTATATAGGTACTTTTTATTTATACAACTCTGATAATCTTAATAAATTTTCAATAATATAATCACAGCGTTTAAAAAAGAAATTTTTTTTTATTTAGGCTGCGTCCAAAATCATAAAAATATAAATAAATAAATTTTGAAGAAAAAAAATAATATGTATTTTTAATGTAAAAAAAAATAGTGTCCAATTTCATTTTTCGGTATTTTTATATAAATTTATTTATTTGTGAAATTTTTATAAAAAATTAGTAATTATAATTTTTAATGCTGTTAATTTTTTATAAATTTACCAAACGATTATAGCCTTTTATATTAATATATTTTTTAGTGACAGAATATAGTTTTATTGATAGTATAAGAGTGCACAGGAACCTATGGTGCAAAAATGACTTAAAAATTAGATATTCTGTAGAAAATAGGAAACCAAATATTATGAGTCAAGTTTTAAATTGACACAGACAAATGTAAAATATTTTTAAAAAAATATAAAATAGTTTTTTATTTTAGGAATCTGAAAATTGGCATCTAGGAACAGTATTATATTTGTATATAAAATTAATATATTTTAATAGGTTTCTTCATACCTTAATGAAATTGCTAACCCACTTAATGATATAAATATTGAGTAAAATATGTCTATTGATTCTTTTGATGATATAATTTCTGTACATTATATTACTATTATTTGAAATTTATTATTGAATAATAGCTAGATCAAGATAATGCCAACAAAGAAAATGAAAACACTATGGTTATTAATAAAAATATTCCTATTCCTACTTTTAAAAGATATTATATTTTTTCTATTATAATTTTATTATATAACTCAAATATAATAATTTATATATATTTTATGGAAAAATTATCTTTCAAAATAAAAGTTATTAATGGTCTTCCAACTGTTTAAAATATTGATACAATTATTATTTACAACATATATGTATTTATTAAGTATAAAAATTTAAATATAACCATTATCAAATAATAGGTTCATACAAAGTTTAATAACTGAAAGGTAATATAAAATAATAAATACAATTAAATATTTGCATATCTTTTAATAAATAACTAATAATTGAATCATATCAAGCATTTTGAATACTTTAATTATTATTTTTTTAAAACTTAAATGTGTCCAAAGTGTTTTGTTATAAATTTAATAAATTTTAATGATTTGTTCCAAACATTTAGGACGCAGCCTAAAAAAAGTAAGAAAAAAAATATAATATAAAAAAAAAATTTCTCTTTTATTTATTAAAAAAATAAGCATTTTTTTATTTGCAAATGCTTATTTTTTAAACGTAAAATTACACAATATATTCGCATGATCTTCTCTTTATTAATTAAAAAAATTCAACAATATTAAATTTGCTGCCCTCTTGTATATTTTTTTAACGTAGTAAATATAATAGTAAATTTTTTAACGTAGTAAAAATAATAGTAATACTTCTTTAACGTAGTAAAAATAATATTAAATATTAATATTTTTAACTTTTTAACGTTATAAAAATTATATTAATTTTTTTTAACGAAATCAAATTAGTTTTTTTTAAACATATTATTAAGATTATATAAAGTTTTTGAGAATTTTGTAGGAAAAATTTCAAGGGAAGCAAGCCTCCCTTGCTTGGAAGCTTCGTTACTGGTTTATATATTTTCTTCTGGTACTATATTTATATAACTTCTTTATTTTTTATCTAAATGCACTATTTTTGGCCATAAACAAGATCAAATAAGTATTTTATAAGATATTAGCTATTTTATTTTCAAAATCCGAAAAATAGTATGAGTAATTAATATAATTATAAAACCATTTGATTCTAAAACTTCGGAGGTTAAACGAATGGTAAAAGGAAAATCTTGTGGAATAACTTCTCTAAGCGCCTTTTCGGCTAAGGCCCCATGACCCAACTCCCTTCGACCTATGAATCCACTTCTACCTACCTCATTTGTAGCGTAAGGGGGGAACTTTCAATAAAAAATGGGCAAAAAAGAAAGATAAATTGTATATTATTCATAAAAAGAATGCAAATATAATCAATAAATTGTTCGTAATTATTAGGGCTGTGCCGATATTAAATATAGGATCGTATCGGCACCGATATCTTGAGTTTTCCAAAAATATCGGATCGGACCGATACCTGTAAGAAACTGATCCGATCTTTTTACTTTTATTTTTTTTATTTTATGTATATTTATTTTTCATTAATAATATTTTCTAAATAAATTTTTTTTAAACAATGCAAATGCACAACACCTCTTAAATTTTATTTATTTTTTAAAATAGATTTATAGTATTTTAAAAGTTTTTTTATAAAAATAGAAAGGACCACCCAATTATTTATTTGAAATCTTTTTAAATAATGCCATTTTATTATTTATACTTTAACCCTTTCGGTCGCGGTAGTGCAAATATAAAACCACCTTTTAACCTTTATATCTTCTAAAGGAGTTGATCATATAAAATGAAACCACCACGAATATATATTAAAAGATATTCTTTTTCATATGTTTGTGGAGGAGTTACTTTTTAATTTTTTTTTTCGCACCTTTATTTCAAAATACGTTTTTTACGGTGATTTTTCTTAAAATTCCAATTTTAATTATAAGTAAGTATATTTATCAAATATTTTTAAATATATATATTCCTCACTATTTTATCTATCTTTCTAATATTTATTTTTGCTCAAATAAATAATATTTATATATTATTTTGATCTTTTTAATGTGGTATATTAAACTAACCACTGCCACTTAACAACAATATTTTTAATATTTATTTTTTTAAATAATTGATAAATTTTGCCAACTCATTTCGCAATAATTTTAGCTTGTTATATATATGGATGATTATCTGGACATTCCATCTGAAGGTTCTTCGTTAGACAACTCATCCACTGATTCCGAAGATGATTATGAATCGGATACACGTTACCAAATTGATAGTGATGATTATGAATCGGATACACCTTATCAAATTGAAATTGATCGATTTAAAAAAGAAAGGTATATATGCTACCGGAACACTAAACAAAAATAGGAGATACTTGCCCATAAAGAATATGGAAACAAAATTAAAAAGAGGTGAGTTTGACTGGAGAAGTGACAAAAATAATATAAGTATAATTAAATGGCGAGATAATCGTGACGTATTTATAATGTCCAATTATATTGATCCGAGATCAGTGGATACTGTGAAGAGAAAAAATAAAAAAGGGGAAGTATTTGACGTAAAATGTCCAATAATGATAAAGATGTATAATAAATATATGGGGTCTGTTGACCATTTCGACCATTTAAAGTCTTTATATGAAATTTCGCGAAAGTGGCGAAAATGGTGGCTACCAATATTCTTTTGGCTGATAGATGCGGCGATTATCAATTCATTCATAATATACAATAAAGAATTCCGAAGACAAATAATTGCTAGCGAATTGGCATACTGTAAAAATGTTAATAGGGATGATAATATTCATAATGATAATAATTATATATCAATGCAAAGAAAAAATAATAAACCTTATATCCTTCCAGAAATTAGACTAAAAAACTCAGCTCATCAACCTCAGGCAGGAACCTCACGAAGGTGTACCTTCTGTAGTACAAAGTTAAATCCCAGAAGAACAAGGTGGTCGTGCAAATCATGCAACGTACCACTATGTCTAAATAAAAATAGAAACTGTTTCGAAAGTTTCCATAAGGTGTCAATGATATGAATTTAAAACCACCAGGGAGAGCCGCCATTTTGAATTAAAAAACTTTTTTCGTGTGTTTTATATTATATTATACTAGAATCAATAAAAAAATTACTAAATATCGTGTTGCAACATATTAATTTTATGAGGGAACCTAAAGGGTTAAATAAAACAATTTTTTTAAATATGTTATCTGAATTATGGAAATATTTTACAAAAGACAAAGATAATTTTGCAAAATGCGTTATCTGCGGAATTCTAATTTCACGGGGAAAAATAATGAAAAATTCATTTAATACTACCAAACCAATATCCGTAAATTTTTTAAAATTTACTTAAGAAATAAAAAAATTAAATTAATTGCATAATTCGAATTTTTGCATAAAAAATATTGATTTCTTAATTACATTTGGTTCGAAGGGGGGTGGTGAAAAATCAATATAGATATCGGATCTGTATCGGATCGGTTTTAAATCAATATCGAAAAATATCGGGGATAGGTGAAAAATATGTGGCTCGGCACAGCCCTAGTAATTATATATTTAAATAAATAATATTTATACTTCGTAATGTAGCATGAAATTTTTCTCTTTTATCGATCTATATTAATAAAATTTGATATTATAAAGGAATATATATTACATATTAGTTTAACATACAGAACCCAGCTTTCATTATGTTTCCCAATGGCCAGAAATTTATACCGTTAAAAACCGGAAAATTTAATAAACCAATAAATATTATGAGCAAGTTACTGCAACCGCAATATAACATAAGGTTAATACCTATAAAAGAGCAAATGATAATATTAGCCAAAATTCTCGATTAGTGAAAATAAAAGAGTTATTGATAGAAGAATAATCATAAATAAAAACCGAATTCCCTGGATGATGTTGAAAAAAGGGGGAGGTGGTGAGGAGGTCTATTGACTTTTACTTTACAACTGTTTATAACTCATCCAATTTTTATTTTAGGCTATATATTTTAAATACTTCTTAAGTTAACTTTAAAAAAAATTAATTCCATTTTTTAACTTCCTGTCATTTTTTTATTTTAGTCTAACTTTTCAAAGTTAGACTATCTTAAAATATAATTTTATATAATCACCCTGTTAGTATGGATATAGGATCGGATTTGAAGGCAGCGTCTAATGAATCGAAAGTAACGGTACATAATACCTATAAAAAAATATTAACAAATCAATTTTTTACGTATTGAATTAGGAAGCACCAATTATATTCATTGATTTCATCAAAAATTACAGGTATAATATTTATTCTTGAATAAGAGATGAAGAAGAAAAAATTAAAAGTTTAACGAAATATATTTGTTCCGATAATAATAATTATAGTAACAATAAATTATTTTACCCATTTTTTGTAAATTTGGGATGTATAAAATTATTGCACTAACATAATAGATGTAGTCACATTTGTATTTCATTATTATATTTATATTAAATAATTTAAAAAAATATCACATTAATTTAAAAAAATGAATTCAATCTGATTCATTGGAAATAAAAGACAATTATACAAGTTTGTTTATTAAATATGAGAAAAATACTTAGATTTAAAAGGTTACATTTAATATATGTCTAATTAGGACTTCGAGTAACAGAATGCCGAATTATGAACTTGAACAAATAGATTAATGATCTCGGACTCTAATACTATATAATAAAATATCTTGAACACGACCTGATAATTAGGAGAATCTTAGTTGATTATTTCTTAACCTTTAAAAAAATAAACATGAGATCCGTTTTGATCCAAAAATATATTTGTCAAAGTTCTTGAGCAATCATTGGCCATCTTAAATTCAAAATTGATTTACGAACTTGAGTTTGACCTCTACTAAAAAGGGCGGAACCGTGTAGAGGTTTATATAGGTCGACCTCGCATTTAATTTCCCTTAACTCGTCTAATTCTCTGCCGTCGCATCTATTAAATGTTTGAATAATGGCTTTAATATTTAAAAAAATAAAAATATATCATTGTTTTTTTTTCCAATAAAGAGTAAAAACAAATCTCCTCAATCGTTTTTTTTCCTTTAAAAACTAAAAAAACTTATTTATTTAAAAACACTTTTAAATCAGAAATGATGAAATATCTATTTTTTAAATTTTCTAATTTATCCGTAACATTAACTCAAGATAATAATTAATGTTAAATTTAGATTACAAGGGAACGAATTAATACAGTGATATAATTTTTTTTGATAAAAAAGGTGCGGAGAAAGGGAGGGTGCCTTATCTAACATTTTTATAGAATAATTATATAAAATACACGCTTTTTATTAAGGTAACGTTTAAAAAAATATACCTGATTTCTTCGTTTAGAATCAAGGATCTTAAATATTCTTTCACGAAATACGAAACGATATCTGATATAACGTGAGGTTCGATGGAATTAAACTTTTCTAAAGGTTAAAAAAAAGTTCAATAAAACTAATTTTCTTATTTAAAAACCATCATAGTAAATTTGAGAAATATATTAAATAGATAATGCAATATTTCATCATATCCACTTTATCAGCGATACAATTAGAATTAGATATGTATCCCACAATCACCTACCAGAACCCGCAAAAAAATCTCATGTCCTATAAGGTGGACAGATTTAAATCAACAAGTATTGCCAAGCGACAATTGAAAAATAAATACTTAGTCAAAATTAATATTTTCTTTAGTTTAGAGAGGGAGCAAGTTAACATAATATGTACCATCTGTTGAAATGGGCAAATATTTTTAAAGTGGCGGATAGGTCATATCAAAGAAAATAAAAAGAAGATTAACCTCTCAATTTTTCGCTTGTGGCATTACGAAAAGCTGTCAACTCTACGTCCCGTTCCTGTTTATCCAAATCGTTGTTGGTTAATATTTTTCTCAAATTTCCTTCATTCCCGGATTCCTTTAAATATGCCTTCATGGAGATTTCTTGCTCTTTTCTTAGCGATATATCTTGACTCGTCAGGGTATTCTGACGTTTGCATTTACCGTATTTTTGCCCTAAAGTTCTTATATTTTTTACAATGGAGGATATTTCTTTGGCGCCTAACTTCATAGCTCTCATTAATTCCGTAACGCTAATTTCTTGGCCGTTTCCTTCTAACATGACTTTTTTGTAATAAAAAATAATTCATTTTATTTTATTTATTGGGGGTAATGGGGGGAGGGGGTGTAAGCGGTTTATAAAATAAAAGGATATGTGATCATCATTATTAAAATGCTTCTCTGAGGGTATTTTATACCTTATAAAATACATCCAATTCTTTAGGTTGGTAGATTATCTCAACAATTTAGGTTGATTTCTATTTACAGGTCAAGGCAATCAATCTAAATTTCAGTTTATATAAATAAACAAGTTTGCGCTTTGGAAGAATATTAGAACTTAATTAAATCACAACATTCTGTATTTCCAAATATTTATAATTTACCAATTAGAAGGCCTGTTATTTGGCCATCATGATTTTAGGCTCTCCATGAAACATGCGAAAACAATATAACGTTTCAATGCCTTTAGGTAAATAAATTTGATTTTATTTATCAACTTTAATTGTAATCCAAAGTTGCATGAAATCTCTAAAAATCTATATAAAGGTCAAAGTCAGTGTGATAGATCTGATTTAATTTAAAAAGTATTTTAAAATTGAACTCGTTAAAATAATTGTGTACAAGATTTGGTTGGTATTATTTAAATTACAAATAAAACGAGAACATCCTCATACTCATGTGCTTTTTATATTGCGGCTGGAAGATAAAATTTAGTTGAATTCAGATATAGATAGATTTTTCAGAAATTCAACATAAAAATATTTGTAATATACATTCTCCATTTATAGACAAAGGTGGTAGGTAAAATTCATACTAATTTTACAAAAGGTAATATTATTTATAAAATAAAATTGTATCACAGTTTTATTGATTACCTACTTTGTTGTGTTCCATTCCAGCTATCACCAAATTTAGCTTACTCTTTTGTTGTTCTTTTCGAGTTGGGTTGACCAGGATTTCTCCATCTAAAAGGCCTAACCTAACAGCAGCTACGGGTCCATTCCATGGAATATCAGATATTGTTAAAGCTGCTGAGGCTTTAAATATTTATTTTATAATAAAATTATTGTTTCTTTTTCTTTAATTCCTTATATGTTTGTTTCTTTCTTTCATATTTCTTCTTAACTTATTTTAAATTTATTTATATCTCTTTTTTTTGTTGTAATTGATATTTTATTTTATGTATAATCTCTAACCTCCATTTATGCAAGCGATATCTGGATCATTCACACCATCAACAGCTAACAAATTACAAATAACCTATTAAGATTTTAAATACATTTTATGTTTCCTATTTTGATAACTTGTGTGTCTGATGAATAGCCAAAAGGAAATAATGGTCTTATTGAACGATCTAGATAATAATTATTTTAAAAATAGTGTCAAAAAATTAGCCTAGCTTATAAAAAATTAATTAATCTTAAAATCGCAAAGACAATTCAAATATTATATTTATATCATAATTAAAAATGTTTCAGCCTGAGCATATATTTCTAAGATTCTAATTAAAAGTATATATAAAATTGTAATCTCAAAACTTAATAATAAAAGAAATATGCAATCGAGACCATAGTAAGATGGAAACTATATTAATAATTAATAGTGATAAGGATCCTCTTAAAATGTTTCAATCAACTCAAATCGTTGTGTCCGAGGCAACTATCTTAATCTATTAGGATTTCAATGAGAGCCTTTATTTGCTCCCTTCCCCCTTATATGTTTTTTTATAATATCACTCATATATTTATCATTTTAAAATTGTTTATGTTATATTTATATAGTTTTATATATTATGCTATTTATTAATATAAATATTAGAGACTGGCAGATCCAGCCCATATACATGGGTGGGCTGTATTTTAATTTTTTTAAATATACCAGGGCCGGACCTAACCGAATATGTAAATCGCCATTAAAAATAAAACATTTTTAAAAAATCCGAGCCGAGCCAAAAAATTTGGGCAGTGCGTATTTCTGCAGGTCTATAATAAATATAATGTATATATTCATGAAATATATGTACATATATATTGATTATAATATAATTTCCGATGCTTGTTTGAAAGATCAACTGGCTATAATAACAGAAATTGTTGCTCGATTGCAAGATCAAATGAAAACGGAACCTCGGGAATAAAAAAATTGTTAACATTTCTTGTGCTAGACTAGGCTATAGAAACTGAACAAGCATAGAACAAAATGAAATTACAAGGGCAGGATGCCTGAAATAACAGGGTATTTGGCCTCTAGTTTAGTGTTGTTAATTGGTTGGTTGTGTAAAAGCCATATCCAAAGAAATCCAAGCTGAGCCAAAAAATTAAAGAAAATTTTTTTTTTAAATTTGGGCTGGGCATATTTCTGCAGGTCTATAATAAATATAATGCATATATTCATGAAATATATGTACATATATATTAATTATAATATAATTTCCTATGCTTGTTTGAGAGATCAACTAGCTATAATAACAGAAATTGTTGCTCGATTGCGAGATCAAATGAAAACAGAACCTCGGGAATAAAAAAATTGTTAATATTTCATTGTGCTAGACTAGGCTAAAGAAACTGAACAAGCATAGAAAAAAATCAAATTACAAGGGCATAGGATGCCTGAAATAACAGGGTATTTGGCCTCTAGTTTAGTGTTGTAAATTGGTTGGTTGTGTAAAACCCATACCCTAGGTTTTGGCCTAAAAATTTACCTAACTAGCTCTGAGCACAAACCCCGAGCATAGACTCGAGGCGTCAGTATAACTTTCTGATATAAAATTCTGCAATAATTTATTTGAAAATTATTTCCACCACTTTCTGACTTCCTCCCTTATTTCAATAAAGAAAAAATTTGTACATGATTTTAAAATCTAAATCATTATTTTAATTATATAATTGTATATAGATGTGATATTAGCTTAATAAATTATGTAGCTTAGTTTCTGCATCGAATACATTTGTAAATGTATCAGCATCAAAAAAAGTTTTTACACAATGTATTTAGTAATTATAAATATGGCTAACTCAATAATCAGCAAGGACATGGTAGCATAAGAAATTAATATTATATCTGTAAAACAGGGCCAGACCTGGGTCTATTTTTTAATATATTTAAATTGATAAATAATAAACTAGTGTTGTTAAACAGCTCATTTTGAGCCGGTTTTTAAAAACGGCTAACTCAATATTTTTGCCTGAAAAATATAGCCTAAGCCTTGAGATTTTGCTAATAGATGTCCAAGCTTTGTTCCTTCTACAAACAAAATCGTCAGGCTTGAGTTATATTATTTTGGATGAAATAGTGAGTTAGCCGTTTTTAAAAATCGGCTCAAAACTAGCAGTTTAATAACACTATAAAAAACACAGAAAACTACTATAAATTATCAAATTAGTAATGTTGTTAAATGGCTTGATTTGAGCCGATTTTTAAAAACGCCTAACTCAACATTATTGCCAGGCCTAAACGTCGAGATTTCGCCAATAGATGTTCAAATCTACCATCTATGAGCAAAATCTTTAGACTTGTAATATTTTTTCTGGATAAAATGTTGAGTTCGCCGTTTTTAAAAATCGGCTCAAATAGACCCGTTTAACAACATTAATATAGACACACTAACTATGCATGCATTAAAATTTAATTATCCAATGCAACAGCCTATGATCATTATTAAAATATTGGCCCAGCCCTTGGTCTAAAATTTTTTTAATGTAAATTTTTCTTTTTGATTTAAAGAATTCTAAAAATAAGGAAGAGTTTTAAAAAAATAAGAAGTATGATTTCATAATCATTTTTATATTAATATGCAATAAAATAGATAAACATAATTAAATATCTATAGTATTCAGAGTTGTTAAAAGATACTTTTTAAATGGATCTAGATACAGATACAGATACATATTCTCAAAAGTTATCTAGATACAGATACAGCGTCTAAAAAGTTATCAAGATACAGATACATAGATACATTTTTTATGCTCTTATAGGTTTGCATAAACCTAAATTAATATTATATTGTGAAAATTCATGAAATGAGCTAAAAATTTATTGACGCGATATAACATTTATCAGAATATAACTAAAATTATAATTTTAATATAATATATGAAAATATATGATTAAATAATTATTAGATTTCAGTAATAAAATATTTTCAAAATTTTGATCATTTAGGCATCCTCGTTTATCTGTGAAGACATTTTTAGCAACACTAAATAGTCTTTCCACAGGGGCGCTTGAAGGAATTGTAGTGTTATATTTAATAAATAACAATTTTATATGATTTCTTTAAAAATGCTAAAATCTCTACATTTATTTTTGAAAAAGTTATTTAAAATTTGTTGATTATCAAAATTTAAATCATTATTAGAAATTATATCTGCTGTAGGGTACTGAAAAAAATCTGAAATTAAATTATTTGTTTTTTTTGGCAGGTTATTTGCTTGCAGTCAGTTGATGACTTTGATAATTCACCAGCTAATCTTTGTATCAATTGTTTTCTTTTATAATGGCTGCATGCCATCTATAATAAAAGCAATAATTAAATCATCTAAAGTGCCTTGAGTCAAAGGTCTTTTAGCAAAAATATTATTGGAGGATGAGCCTTGCCAATATTTTCTTTAGTATTTTATTTTCCTTCCCCTTTTTTATTTTTGTTAACAAGGTTGGATATTTTTTCTTAAAATTTTAATTAGAATTTTAAATATATAATATCTATACCCTTATGTGCTTCACAATATTGCACGTTGAAGTCATACTGACGGATATTTTTGTATTTTTAGGTAGACATGGCAAACCTTTTACCATCAGAGAATTAATTGTTTTCTTTGTTTTGAGATATTATTTTAAAATATGCTCAATTTGGCCATGGTAAAGCAATAGAACTTGTTGCTTCCTCTTCTTCATCAATATAGATCTAAATAAATATATAAACTTAAAAATTTAGTTATAAAATAAAATTTACCATTTCCATATTGTAATATTAAAATTTGTATGGTTTATTGATAAACTCGGACATAATATTTAAATTAATGAATATTTATATATATTTTTTATATATAAGTTTTAATATTTTATGTATATATAATTCTTTATTATAGTATTAATAAATATTAATATATAATATATATATATTTATTTATTTCATAAGCTCATATGAAATAAAATAAATTTTACAGTCAAATATTTTTATTTATAATAAAAAAAGGGGTATATAAAATGTATCTTAAAAAGTATCTAAAAACAGATACAGATACCTCTAAAAAAATATCTAGATACAGATACAGATACCTTTCTAAAAAATCTATCTTGATACAGATACAGATACTACATTTTTATATCTAGATACTTGTATCTAGATACTTTAACAACTCTGATAGTATTATAACAAAAAATTGAGAATAAAATAAATCTTTTGATTTCTTAATTATATTTTAGCAGTGTTAAAACATTTTTTTGCTTCCAGGAATTTGCCAGGTCTGGGCCAATAAAATTGTTTTAATATATAGTGCAAACAAGAAAAATATATATAAATCAATTAAACCAATCATTCTACTGGTTAAAATTTCTTTATCTGATAATCCAAGTTCCCTTCTCAAATAATTTGTAGGAATTCTTCCCGCTGCTGAGGATTTCTGTCTATAATCCACCTATGTTAAATTGATTAATGTTTTATTTTAATTTATACAGTTAAAGGAATAAAAGAAGATATGGCTGTAGGTTTTTTAGAACTAACAGCAGTTACCATTACACATGTATCTCCTATCTAAATTAATATTAATAAAAAGGAATAAATAACTAAAAATTACATTAACTGTCACTGAGCCATCAGCTAATTTAGCTAATTTTCCAGTTTTTATATCAAATTTTCTACATTTTATATAAATAATTTTTATAATAATCGTTTTAACTTTGATAAGTTATTATGTGAGGATGTTGAATAGTATTTCAGAAAATAAAACACAGATTTTTTCTTGAGCATTTTAAAATAATAAATATACTCAATTTGCGCTAAAATTAAATTGTCATCCTGTCATCTGTCATTAATGGTATTTTAGATTAAAGCAAATAAAGGGAATACAATTAAATGAACGTTCTTTATTCATTTCTCTACCAGAATGGCTCGTGATCAGTGTTAAATGAGCAAGGGAGTGGAGGAGGGAGGCAGGGAGAGGGGCTATAGGAGCAATTTGCCCAATTTATTTTAAGGGTGGTAGAGGTTAGAGGTCTGCATTGGGCAGGTTTCTGGACCAAAAGCCCACCCATCCAATGTTTTAAAAAAAATTTAACCCGCCCGCCCAGCCCGCCTATAGTTTTCAAAAAATTATACACCCGCCGTACCGTCCATTTGTCTAAAATTCTTTACCCGCCCGCCCGTCCGCCCATTAGTCTTAAATTTTTTACCCGCCCGCCCATTATTTAAAAAAAATTTTAACTCAAGCCCGCTTATAAAATATAATTATGGTCATTCTTTTATTTTATTAAGCGTCTAAAAAAAATATTTCAGCATTACACGAAAGTTTATTTAAAATTAATTTTATATATACTTATAATGCAAAAATAATAATGAATCGACCTATTCTGGATTCAAACAGGTACTTCTTTGTTCTAAAAATCTTCCAGCAATGCTAATTCCGCGTTCGGAAGAAGCACTAGAAAAGTTTTATTACATTCCCATAAAAGGAAATTTTTAATAGACAAAAATGTTTATTTATTCTAAGAAAAAGGTTTTCTTCACTTAATAAAAAACGATTGGTATTAAAAAATGAAATTATTATAGATCATTTAAAAAATTATTTTTTTTAGGTTGTTTTTGAACAAAAATTTTAAATTTCCTTAACTCACCCGCCCATTGTTTAAATTTCTTAACCCGCCCATATATTCAAATTTTTTTTAACCCGCCCGCCTGCCCATTTTCGGAAAATTTTTTACCCGCCCATCCGCTTGCCCACTTAGATGGGTGGGCGTGGGCGGGCGGGCCGAAACCCCGCCCAATGCAGACCACTAGTAGAGGTAATATTTTCAATAGATTAAATTTAGGTTGATCTTTAATAACTTCCGGATTAATATTTTCTAAACTAATACTATTCAAGCCTCGAGATATGGCACATAGATGTCCAAACCTTTCTAACATCTACTATGTTCCAGACTTAGATAATTTTGTTTCAATTAATCTTTTTTAAAGACGAGCTTAAATCGAGCTTTTTAACAACACTAGGTATAAATTCTATTGGGTAGGCTAAGTCATTTTAGGCTAAATTAATAGGGTTAGGAATTTAATTTTCATAAGAAATAAGGCAAAATATATTCCTGTAAAAAGGTATTTATTACTCTTTATGTAAAATCTTTATTGTTTTTTTAGCTCAATGGTTTCATTGTTTTGATTTTGTGAATTCCATATAGCCAAGCAGCATGTTAATAGCTGTAGAATATCTAAAATATTTGTCCGAATTAAAAAAATATTATATTAAAGGTATCATATATTAATAATCATCGCTGTCAGTTTTAGTCATAGGCGTAGCCAAATTTGCTAGAAAGGGGGCACAATAAGATAAATTTTTACACCATAAATTTTTACGGATATTTCCATATCACCTTATTTTAGACTTTTGGCTATATTTGATTTCTATAAAACTAATTTTGGTATTAGCTTAATAAATATTTAGGAGGCAAATTTGTGAACCACATCCTCCCCCCATCGGTTATGCTCCTGTAGGGTATGATCGTTAGATTTGGATATAGTATTTAAATGTGCGTCGCTATACGAGATGTCATTACTTAGGCGCCATGGCTAAAAAATGAAACTCAAATTTTTGTAAAAATTTTAAGCCTAGCGGATTTAGGAAGATACAATAGCGTAATAACAGTACCCTCTGTATATTTGAATCCAGTTCATAGAAATAAACATGGTTATCAAAAGATGACTTCAATTTTGATTTTTTATAACCATGGCTTGTTTATTAGACAATATTGTAGATACTTCTACCAGGAAAGCGATATTGGATTGTATATTTATATCTATTATAATAATCCTCAAAAAAAGTCAATCAAATTTATCCAATAGTATTCTTTTATTATATATTTATCAAATAAAAATCTTTATACCTCATTCGAGCCAATGATAATAAATTAAAACATTCATACACTTATCAATTCATTCACTGCACATATCAAAGCAATGGTATCCAACAACCAAGTAAAATTTTTTAAGTTTTTTTTAAATTATATTATTTTTTATAAATTAGATTCTTCAACAAAACCCAACTACCAAAATAAGAAAAATAAACCAAGTTAAAAAGCAGAAGCAAAACATTGTTACCATGAATCCAGAGGTATGTGATGCTATATGGAAAACTTTAAAAGATATTCATATACCCGTTCCAACTAGAGAACATTGAGAGAAGGTATTATAAATTTAGATATTAATATATTTTTAGATTGCACAAAAATATTTTGAGAAACATGGATTTCCATACTGCATTGGCTCATTAGATGGTAGGCACATAAAAATAATAAGTCCAACAAAATCTGGAACCCTTTTTTACAATTATAGATCCTTTAAATCAATTGCTTGGTTTAGCTGATATCAATTGCAAATTTATGTATATAGATGTAAGATCTTATGGAAAACAAAGTGATGGTTGCACTTTCAGAAATAGTACTTTATATCAAAGTAAATTTTTAATAACTATTAATAATTTATAATTATTTTAGAATTAGAAAATCAAATACTTTTTATTCCTCCTCCTAAACCATAAGCGTAGCCGGGGGGGGGGGGGCAAGGGAAAATTTCCCCCTCCCCTTCAGAAATTTATCACTTTTAGTAAATATCATTTTTAGCTAATAAAAAATATCCCCCTTAGTCCTCCCCCTACTCCCTGACCCTCAAATATGTATGCATATATCTTAAATAATAAATTAAAAGAAAGAATGTAAAAGTTGATATTTTTTTATAAAACTATTCATCATAATTTATAGATTTTTGGGAAAATAAATTTATAAATATATAAAATGAACCAAAAATGTTTTTTAATAAATGGAATATAAGCCAAAGATAAGTCTTAAGACAGAAGTGAAATGTATTATAATTATTAATAATAGATCCATAAAATTACTAAATAATATAATATATCAAATATAATTTTTTATAAAGTGAGTAATTTTAATTTATTTATCTTAATAAAAGTTAAATATAATTATAAAACTATTGAAAAAATTAAATCATAAATTAAAAAAATTTTAAAGCACAATACAAACAGTGGAATATTATATGTCGTAGATTTACAGTTATATAATTATCAAATGACAATCAAGTAATTTTTACCAATATAGCGAATTATATATTTTACAGAAAACTATAAAATATTGATAAGGACATCAGAAAATATCTTAAGACATGGTGGGATGAATATTATGAAAGATTAAATTTTAATATTATTTTTACTTAAAATAAATAGATGGCGTTAAATAATTGAATGCAAATTGTTGCTATATTTAATATCAAGAGCATTGATTAGTAAAATTTGTTAAATTATTAAGTGTAATATACTCTCTAACTGTCAAATATGTCTGTAAAAGTGGAATTTTACCTAGTATTTTATAACTAATTCTATATAATAGAGTAAAATCAACTATATGTCTACTTACTTTTTATAAATAAATTTCTTATAATTGTTTGGAATAAATTATTACCATGCTCTTATATTAAGGTATATACAATACAAGTAATTTATTATATTTTTATTTTATATAAACTAATAAAAATATATTTCATATTTGTTCCAGGCTTATTTTTTTTATTAAATTTGTAAAAATATTTTATGACTATCAAAAGGGGGTCTGGGAGCGAAGCCCCCAGCAATCTTGTAATTCCCCCCCCCCTTATGAAAATCCTGGCTACGCCTATGTCCTAAACCTATATAATAATATCATTGCCTGATTTAGCCTTCCCCTTAAAAAACTTATGAAACCTTATCCTATGAAAAATACCAGTCCAGAAGAAAAATATTATAAGTTAAGTAGTGGCACATTTGGCATAACTACTGATAGGTTTGCCATTAATTCTAAAGCTATAAAGTGCTCATGATTATGCTAAAATTAATAAACACCTAATATTATACCTATTCCGAAAATTTAGGGATCAGTTGAACTTTAAATACATCAAGTATTAAGAGGAATAAGATATTTATTTAACGACTATTTTAATTCTTGAATTTATGTATAAATTTAAAATTTTATATCATTATATATTAAGCTAGATGACAGACCATCAAATTTGATGGGAAATTATAATTTTCTCCTTTATTTGATGATGGATAAATCAGAAATGTTTATATCTTATGAGATGTGATTCGGAAATTTGTATTTATGGTGGGTTATTCTAAAATTTTACAATATTTTTTATAAAATGTTTATGAAGTATATATTTAGTAATTTTAATATGTGCACAATAAAAAATCATTTAAACTAAATTTTTATTCATATATTTGCAATTTCAAATATAAAAAATACTTCATAAAGAAATTTTATCATAAATGATGAAAAATTTTAGAATAACCCCTCATCTTAATAAATATAAATTTCTGAATAAGTCTCATAAATAGGAATTTTTTTAATTTATCCATCATTGAATAAAGGAGAAAACTTGGATCATCATTCTTGATGAGCGAAATATAATCTTTAGCACTGCCTAACCTACTATTTAAACAAGTTCAAGAATCTATGAGTCATAAGTATGGATTCTTCTTTTTATCTGACTATTTAAATGTTTGATTTTTATAGGTAAATTTTAACTATATAGATGAATAACAATAAAAAATACAAATTCTTTTTCTCCTAATAATCCTATCCTTTCAATAAAGGAGGTAACCTTATTTCCCGTATTCTTTTTAATTTAATATTCAGTTATTTTTATTTCAATTATATCACAACAAAAGGATATGTAATAATTTGTACTATTAAGCACTATCAAACCTATCATTGATCCTTAATCAATATAAAAATTTTCATGACTCAGGTATATATTTTTCATTTTATCAGACTTTAGATTTTTATAAGTAATTTACCTAATTTTTCGTGACATAATAATTTACAATGTTATTTATATATTTTTTAAGTTATCTATATTATTTTATATAGATAAGAATAACAATAAATTCTCATTATACCTAGGAATTCTATCTTTTCAAAAAAATGATATTCTTTTTTATACATTTATTTTAGGATAAGTCAATTTTAAATATATCTAACAACAGAGAAAGGATCAAATTAAATAATATAAAATTTACATCTATAATTCTATTCAAACAAAATAATTTAATTACTCATTTGCTTTCAACTATTCTTATTTGTAAAGTTAAATTTAAAAAAATTAAATTCTAAATAGTAATAAATAATAATTAAACAAAATATAAAACCTTTTTTGAAAATAGTTGGAGGCAAATGAATACTATAATCATTTTGTTTGGATATAATTAAAGATGAAAATTTGATATTTTTTAATTTGATCTTTCTCTGTCTCTGTGAGATTTCATTGATATTGACTTATCCTAAAATAAATAGAAAATAATGTTACAAAAATTAAACATATCTTGCTATTTCCATAATATTAATCTATTAGTGGAGCAACATAACTGTGTTCCTATGAATTTAATAAGCCAATTTCGTCAATCTTTAAATTTTTTAGCCGAAAGACCTTCAGATGGTTAATTTACCCAATATTGTCATAATAGCAAAGTCAAACTTATTCAATATCCTTAATATTTAAAAAATTATTTATTTAACCCTTTAAATACGTTGCTCAAAAATTTTATGCGTCATATTCGTTCTTACAACAGTTCTATTGCCTTTACATTTCTGGAAGCACAAATTTCAGAGTTACCGGGTAATGGTCCTTACTGTTTTAAAGTTCATGGGCAAATTTATCATTACACATCTCATTTATATTCACATACCGATATTCTACATTTTGCTCAGTATGTACTAGATAATCTCAGGCTATTGCAGGACGTCTTCAGAACCCTGTCAATTCTGATTGTGATATAAATATCATGAGACATTTAGATGTGTTGATGTTGATCCATATGCTTTACGTTTCAAAACCTTAGGTGAAGTTGAGAAAGCTGAGTTATTCCTTGCAAAACATTCAAATATATTACTGCTAAAGATTAATGATATTTCGCGGATATCGTTCTAGCGACCGTCGGCGGTATAATTTACCGTTGATGGCGTAATTATAATATCTACAAATAATGATGGAGAACGTGCCTTAAACGATATATAAGTTAAGTCCTAATTTAGACCCAATGGTATACCCTATATTATTTTCTCATGGAGATCCTGGTTGGGAGCCTAATATGATTGCTAAAGGGTTTGTAAATTTTTGACGTCAAATATCGGCTACATAATCAAATTTTCAGTTTGGTGGTTAAACAAAATCTCTTTAACCCCCTTCTTAATGCTGGGAAACTAACTCAACAATATATTGTAAAGACGGGACATCATGCCTTTCTCCCTTATTCGATAATAGATGAATCAGAAATTAAGCATATCTTATGAGGTGTGATCCACAAATTTACCTCTTTTTCGAAATTTTAATTATTTTTATAAAATATTTTAATGAACTATATATTTAGTACTGTCAACCCCGTCATTCTTGACGGATTATCAGCTAGTTATTTACAATTTTCATAAGTATCCCTTGGAAATACTTTTATTTATGAACAAGCCAGATTAGCTAGAATGTTAAATATGTTCCATATCAAAACCATCGTGTTCTTGTAAATCAATTAACGATTCAAAATATACAAATGGACATTTTGCTTTTGCAAGATAATATCAGCATTCAATTTCTTTATCAATGCGATTAAGGCAGTATATTTTTTTTACTCCTTGTGTGGGGAAGCAAGTTTACAGCTATTAAACTAGTGAAAACAGATACAATGACATTCTCATATTTCTATTGATAATTTTTTTAAGGGCCAATTAAAATAAAGGGTTAGCTTTTTATTAAATTTTTTTTTCTCTCTTTAGCTTTAACCTTTTCTGGTGGTAAGCTCCTTCAATATCTCTCTCCACTTTATGTTATTCATAGTATCTCTTTTATCTAATTTATACTTCTTTATATTGGCTCTAACTTTATGGCCCCATTGAAGTTTTGGCCTTCCTCTTTTATGTTTGCCTTTTACTTCTAAATTCTCAACCTTATTTCCTATGTAATTCATAGGCCTTCTCATTGTGTGTCCATACCCCCTAAGTCTGTTTACCAATATCTTGGTCTTAATGGTCACTCCCTCTAAACTTCCTAGTATTCTTGTACTTCGTACCTTATTCTTTCTTGTTACCTTAGCAATCATCCTCAGCATTCTCATCTCCATAGTTTGTAGACTTCTCTCGTCTGATTTTAAAGTTGGCCATGTTTCCGAACTGTATAGAATAGTTGGTTGTAACATGGAACTGTAAATTTACCCCTTCAATTTGTGTGGGATTCCTTGTCAAGCACTCCAGATAAAGATCTCCACTTTAACCACCCTTGATTAATTTTACTCTTTATCTCTTTCTCTTTTGTGCCGTTTGTTTGTATAGTGGAGCCCAAATATTTGCAACTTTTAATTGCTGATATCTACCATTTATTTATATCAATGCTCTCTGTTTCATCTCCTCCTATCACCATATACTCCGTCTTTTCTCCGTTTACTTTCAGTCCGTGCTTTTCTAGGATATTTATCCAACTAATTTCATCTGCAAATATCATATTCCACGGTAGTATTTGCGGTATAGACTGTGGTAATACATCTATTACTGTTATTAATATGAGTGGGCTGAGAGCCGAACCTTGATGAACTCCCTAGGCTATTGTGAAGCCTGTTGAAGTACCGGTTCTGTTACGGACCATTGTTGTTTGGCCCATATACATATCCTATATTATTCTTATCTATTATGACTAGGTCATCCTTATCAAGGATAGCTCTAAAAACATCTTTCTCTTCTTCTTTGCAACCCGTTTGAGGAGATATTCAAAAAGAATGTGTAGTAATGATTGACCAATGCAGATTTTATTTTCATAGGTCATCCTTATCAAGGATAGCTCTAAAAACATCTTTCTCTTCTTCTTTGCAACCCGTTTGAGGAGATATTCAAAAAGAATGTGTAGTATGCAGATTTTATTTTCATTATTCCATCAGAGATCCTGTTGACTTCTACCACTGAGGAGGTTAGATCTTGACTGAGGACGATGTCGACACCATTTCTATTGCTAAGAATTCCATTATAGTACAATTTATACCCATCTCCAATCATTGAAGTCTTCTGACCTTTCCTTTCGTCTCTTGTATGCACGCTATATCAACTTTTCTCTTGTCCAACATTGATGCCAATTCTCTCGTCTTTCCTTTAGGTGTCCCAATATTCAAACTTGCTAACCTTGTCTTCTTTGCTTTGACATTTATATTACTTTTCAGAGGAAGGAGATCTACATCCTGCGCGTCGCTTGGATAAGTGACAATTGTCATAATCGTTATTTTTAAAGTTTTTTGAATTTTTTAACCTAAATGGGCAAAATTAAGTTTCCAAGGAACATCTTCATTTAATTTTTAATTTTAACATCGTTACAATATAAATTATATTTTTACCCTTTTGTGTCAAAAAATTTCAAAAATGGTAGAAAATAACGAATATGACAATTGTCACTTAAAACATTACCCTTAAAAAGTTCATATAAAATAGCATAAAAATGTTTATAAATATTTTTAAAATAATTATAAAAAAAATAGATAATTTTACAAAAATGATTTAAAAAAATTATAAAAGATATTACCTAAAAGATTGTTTATTTATAATAAAGTTCACAAAAGATATTTACAAAAAAGATTTAAAATTCTTATCAAATCAAAATATGTTCTAAAATATTTTTTGCTTAAAATTTTGGGCGTGAAAATCATTAATAAATTGTAACAAAAATAATATTACAAAAATTAGCAGCATATTTTATTAAAAACATGAAATAAATAAATCCATTTTCATAATATAATATAAGCATATTTAATTTCACAATATTATATAAACAAAAAATATTAAATCATCAAAATATTTAAATATAAATAAAATAAATTATTTTACTAAAATAAATAAATATTATTAATGATAGACAATAATATAATTATGCAAGGTTTTTCATGATCAGTTATATGATTAACTATATCAAATATTTTCTATCCCCCCCCCCAAGGTTGTACTCATAACCCCATTTTTAAGGTAGAACTAGACTTATTTGATACATAAAATTAATTCTGACCCCCCCCCCCTTAGTATTATCTTCACCCATGTAGAGGTAGCGCTTGTCTTGTTGCCTATCCAAGATCTTTTAATAATTACCATATATTTATATACTTTAATAAGATCAATAAGAAATAACTTAGAATATATGGGTCTGAACCACTGTTGTGCTCGGGGTTTATGCTCATAGCTGATTTAGTCAATTTTTAGAGCCAAGCGCTAGGTCTTGGTATTACACAACCAACCAATCAACACTAATATAAGTAATAGAATTTCATAAAATTTAAGTTAACCTGTTGAGTTCACGATTCAAGTTCATAACTCGAGTAGCAACTTGAGTTCACGACTCAAGTTCATTCGAGATGAGTTATTGCGACTTCGATTCCTAGTTGAAGTCGGGAGAACTCGACTATTTAACAACACTATATTTTAGTGTACTCATTTTGTTAAATGAAAAGTTTCAAAATCAATTCGTTTATTATTTGATTGGTTAAGTTGGGTTTGTTGATACAAAAAATTTATGATTAAATCAAAATTTTTTATATTCACATCACCTAACAAATTCCTAGTTTAAAAAAAGAATTTGAATTCAGTAAAATTTTGAGAATTGGTTCTTAGCCCTGTTTTTATGGTAATGCTTCGTGATTTTTTTTCCATATAAAGCAATACCAATACTAATACAAGAAATAGAAAATATTGTTTAAACCAATACCAATATTTTTGACCCAATACCAATACAACATTTCGTTTATCTTGGGTTTTTAATATTGGTTCCAGCCCTAAGTAGTACCTATCAAATATTACTATTTTGTTGATTTTTTATTTTGGTACTACCAAATTTATAATATATATTTTAAAAATCGTGAATTTTACAAAGCGTCTGGCTTAAGCGGCAAGAGCTCTTAGCTTACCAATCCAATGGTTATGGGTTCGAATCCCAGCAAAGATCTTTTTTTTTTCTTAATTCAACATGATGGTTCAGTCCTTAGTGGGATGATACGACTATGTGATTCTCTTATAATATATGTTAAATAATAAGGGTCTTATTATATTTTAATAAATTTTGGTCGGTATTTAGCAAATTAAGTTAGTATTTTAAAAATTGCTATATGTTAGTTTGATTATATCTATCATTAACAGAATTCTTACAGGTGAAATATATTTTTCTAGTATAATTTTTAACTAATTTCATATTAAAATCTCAAAACTCTGGAGAACATTGTACAAAGAGTCCTTTGTGCCTTCCATTATAAATATTCCCACAATCTAATAAATATGCATTTAATACAATTACTAGCTGATAACCTGTCAAGAATGACAGGGAATCAGAATTTTCTTCCTTATTCAATGATGTGAATAATATATTTTACCTTTACTTGATGGATGAATCAGAAATTTTCCTATCTTATGAGGTGTGATTTAGAAATTTATATTTTCTTACACAAAACTCATCTAAGAATATATTGATGATAAATTACAAATGAATAAAAATTTAGTTTAAAGGATTTTTTATTATGTACATAAATTAAAATTACTAATCCTATACTTCATAAACATATTTTATAAAAAATAATGGAAAATTTTAGAAAAAACTCTCATCTAAATAAATATAAATTTCTGAATCACATCTCATAAGATAGGAAAATTTCTAATCATTCATCATCAAATAAAGTAAAATTTATTATTCATAGATCATTGAATAAAGAAGAAAATTCTGATTTCCCGTCATTCTTGATGGGCTCAGGTGGTTATATTATAATTATGAAATGCATTCTAAAAAATATCTCATTTTTTTATGGAATATATTTTATTTACAATATATTTCATTTTTATACCTTTCTAAATACCTACCTTTATTATATAATATATTTTATATGTACTTCGATATATTTCTATTTTATTATATAATTTATTTTATTTTATAATGAAATGCTTTGATATATTTCAAAAAAAATATGCCTAGGAAATCATTTTTTTGAGTATCCCATACTATTTTTTAGAGTAATAACATGCCTGTGGATGCAAGTTTTAGTAATACATCGACCTGATTATTATTAATATATGAATATAACTAAAACCGTTATCCGAAACCAAAAAATTTACCAAAAAAATATTTTCTTTTTGATTGACTACCTAATCAACAAAATCATATGATACATATTTCTATATGCGATCAACATAAAAACTTTATATTTAAAATATAAATATAAAAAACTCTCATAGGATTGTCGAGGAAAATTTGCCTGGAATGGTGTGTTTCCACATCACATTAAATGTTATCATCTTATTATTATGCTTTTGATACTTTTTAAAATAAACACCCCTTTTACGTTTTAAATACATATCCAAGATTTATTAAAACAATTTGAAGAATTTATTAAAGTTAAATTTTAAATAAAATTTTAATAATTACAATATAAATAAATAATAAATATAATTTTATAATTTATTGCTAATGACATGTAGAGGGCATTGATCAAATATTGAGATATCAAGAATAGGAACTTTACATTTAACATTTGAAATATTTAAAGTGGATGTAATATGATTGAAATTAATTTCTTTATCACATTTGTTTTCATCAAAAAACACATTATCTTTATCACATGGGACAAATAATTTTTGTTTCTTATCATATAAAACATGATTGTGACAATATTTCGAAAAAGGTAGAGATATTTTGTCACATCTTTTGCCATCATTGTCACTCAATTTTGCATCAAGATTTTCTATTACATCCGTGAAATCAAGGCTAGAAATGGATTTTACTCTATTTCTATTTTTTGACCTGCCACCAGCTCTACCACTATTCTTCCTATTTCTATTTCGTTTAATATTCTTCAAATTCTGGCTTAGATAAGAGGTGCACTTATAATCGTCATCCGGAGGCTTATTTTGTTCAGATTTAAGATTGTGTGTAATTTTAACTTCTAAGAGCTCAGACATTATGTCACCTGATGAGTTGCCATTTAAAAAGTCTTTATTATCTTCATTAAGAAAGTAATGACATCTGACTTGAATTGGTTTTTGAGACGAGGACATAGTCAAATCATTGTTATCTAAAAAGTTTTTATACTTTTTCCTGAGATATTTTTGGTCAAAAAAATTGGTAAATTGCCATCTTCTATTACGAGAGCGAATGATAAAATCGCCTTCTTTGCCATGTGGTCTGTGGTATCGTGTATAAGCTTTCAAAAGCATTTGACGTTCATTCAGATCTGTTTTGGTTGATGCGCTTGATTGTTGATCTATATAATCAGTTGTCCCTTTAATTAAAAATAAAATTCTGCAGATAATCAAGAATATAAATAAAACTATTTTAATATTACAGCAGGTGATGGTAATACTGTGGTGCGCACAAATTGAATATTTCAAAATGTGCGCGTTGCAAGCGCAAATAATGCATTTCAAATGGCCTCATGCAAGTTGGTAAAATAACCTTTTTAGTTAACAACCATTTAAATAAACGCAAATAGGTTGGCCTTTTCATTAGTTTTTATTAGTACTGTAAACGTTACTACAAAAAAGAAACGCGTTACCGTTACTCGTTACCTCTTTAAAAAAGGAATGTGAATTACTGACTATTCAAAAAAGTAACGGGCTACACTTAAAAAATTAAATATTATATATATAAAAAATATTTATTTTTTCCTGCAATAATAATATAAATAAAGCAATACAAAAAGAATATATAATAAGAAAAGATCTTTTTGTAACAATTTTTTTTATATTTTTAGCAACAATTGATTTTCAAAATTTTATTAGACAAACAAAATTGCTCAACACACCCTAGTGATCTGCATTGGGCCTAATTTTTTAAGCCCGGCCCGGCCCGAAATTTTTTTAAAATGTTTTGCCGGCCCGGCCAGGCCCAAATTTATTTAAATATAGAAATTAATTTTTATAATAACTTAAAATAAAAGACATATTATATAGCGTTTAGTTTCAATAAATTAAATCAAAAATTTTTATTTTACATAAAAAATTCAATATAAAATTAATAAATTTAGAAATATTTAATAAAATTGATAAATTTAGATATATTTAATAAAATTTCCAAGGTCCGAACCGACCTCGCCCGAATTTTTTTTAAAAATAATAGGCCCGGTCCGGCCAGATTATTTTAAATAAAATTAGGCCCGAGCCCCGCCCGAAGCCCGTTCGGGCCGGGCCTAACTTTGCATCTAACACACCTTTCGCCGTGCTAAACATACGTTCATTTGGCGCAGAAGATGGGAGAGTTGTATTATATTTAATAAATAAAAATTTTAATTCCGGAAATTTATTCAAAATACTTAAAAAATAATCTTTATCTTGAAAAAAGCTTATAAATCATTTTCACAAGGATCTTCACTGATTTTCCTCATCAAAAAATATTAGATTTATCAAAAAAATATTCTGGTATGTGTGTTGGATAAAGGAATTATGTCTGTTAAACTGGAGATAAGTTCTAGCATTCTTCCTTTGTTGACTTTTAATTTTATCAAGGGCCAATCTAATTTAAATGAGGGTAAATTATTGCGGATAGTATATATTCATCTTTATAGATGTGTGTGAATCTATTGAAAATAAAAGATAATCAAAATATAGCTTGTAAGTAATATTTGAACTGTATACCTTTTATCTACACCTTTCAGGATTGAATAAATCAGCGGTTTATGAAATTATTTAAAACCATTTTTTAAAGTTTTAATATGAAAATAGTAGTGCTGTAAACATTTTTAAAAAAATCGAACGCGTTCGCGTTCAACGTTCAATTGACAAAAATCGAACGCGTTCACGTTCAAATTCAAAAAAAGGAACGCGTTCAAGTTCATGCGTTCAAAATTTTATAATAAATTTTTTTTTAAATTTAATTTAATATAAATAAATGCCTTATATTTTTCAACACAATATATTAGCCATGATAAAAAAATAATAGTTTTATTTTGATAATATAATTATAAATACAATATAATAGAGCGATAAAAAAATAAATTTATAAATTTTTTTTCTTAAATACTAATATTAAAATGCCTTATTATAATTAACTATATATATATTATGTAATTATTTTTACTTAGAACAATTAAAATAAATTATTAACTGGCTATATAGTTATACATATTATATAATATAAAATAATTAATGTTACAATCAGATGTCTTTTTAAATTGGAGCTTGAAGATGTTGACACTGATATAATACTTTTTGGACACATTTTACATTTGGTAACTATTGAATTACCTTTTGATTTTAAAACAGTGAAATATTTTTGATATTTGGGCCATGGTAATTCTAATTCATCTAATATTGAATTTTGATTTTCAGAATCTAATGATGAAATATTTTTATCCATGCAAATGCTAATCTATTAAATTAAAATATAAAATATTCAAATTAATAAACTTTAATCTTATCTTCTCTAGCAGTAGCACGTTATGGTACGTTAATTGCAATATGAAAGAGGAAAAAGTAAAAACAGCTGATTAAAAAATATAAGACTTTTTTGTTAAAAAATTGGATTAAATATTAATTTTTCAAATAAATAAAAATATAAGACTTTTTTGTTAAAAAATGCGGATTAATATTAATTTTTCAAATAAATAAAAATAAAAGTGTTTTTAAAATTGAACGAACGTAAAATTGAACGCGTTCATCAAAGAAAAGGAACGCGTTCACGTTCAAAGTTCGTCAAAAAAAAAGGAACGCCGTTCATCACCTTTTTCAAAAAAACGAACTTCGTTCACGAACGCGTTCATTTTGAACGCGTTCGTTTACAACACTAGAAAATAGTTATCGTTGGAGTGAGATATCTCAAATTGAAAGAGCCATAGCAATCGGTTCATAACCTATAAAATCATATTATATATATAACATATTTTTTAATTAACAATAAGATACAATATTCATCCATGGTTGGTATCTTATAATCTCTGTAATTCAGATTCATCACAAGATTCGTCAAATTTTTGGTAATTTTCGTTAATAAGATTATCTATTAATTTCACGGAGTTATAAAAAAGAGTTCAATCTTGTTATAACCGGTTTTATCTAATATCTTCCCATGTTTCCTTAAAAATGGATGCACAGTTTGACGATTTTTATTCCACAATAGCTAATACTTAGAAAATGTGATTTTTGAAATGGTTTTAAAATGAACTTCGTTACCTGTCTTTTCAAAGTCAACACTTGCAATGTGATTTAAAGTGTGTGCTAAACAGGAATGATGCTTAGATGAGGATACAATACTATCATTAGTATTTTGATTTTCAAATACATCAATTAATGGCAGAAGAACTATTTCATCACCCTATCCCTCTCCTTGTTCATATATTCTAATAAATTTTTAATAAATATATTATAATTTTTTACTTGAAAGCTTTTTTATAATTTCAAGCATTGTCGGTTATTTTTTTATCTTATATGTGGTAAAAATTTTAAGGATTATTTTTTCTAGATAATCAAATGTGTGTTTTTTAGCTTTTTACAGGCTAAGCAGGCTGAAGCCCTCTCAAAAGTTCTAGGTCTAACAAGTGTACCATCATTCCTAAATAAGAACCTTTTTAAAAGACAATATTAATATATCGATGATAAGCTGACCACGAATCCACAGTTGAACATATAGACAATTTTTTATACACAATAAATCGACTAATTTTTTAATTTTTAATACGAGGGTAGGCTTAGACATCATATTTTTAGTTGGCTGCAATTTTTTTATAATATTAATAAATGCAGTGCTTTTTACAATTGAAAATTGTTGTAATTCTTTAATTACAAAATTAAAACTGATTCATTAACAGCTTATTGTGATATTTCTATTTTTAATGTAAATGGATTTTGTATCTTAATGAGTGTGAGTTGATTTGCTTCAATTTTTTTTATTACTATTCAAATGTTCATTAATCACTTTCATTTTCGAGGAATGTACAGTCGATAATTTTTTAATTAAAATATTATTAATTCTTGAATTTTTTTATTAAAAATACTTAGCTTTTTTAATAATTGAAGATAAATCTTTTAAAAATTTAATTGCATTTTTTAACCCCTCACAAAGCTTATTATTGTCAAGGAAAACATTAAAAATTAAAATTATGATAAGATAATTTTTCAATTTCATATCTTTTTTAGAATTATCATTTAAAAGGGAATCAGGAAAAATAGCTAGGTTTAGTTCTCTAAAACAATATTGCTTAATAGTTTTATTATATATTTATTTAAACAAAGTTTTTTAAAATCACAATTTTATTCTTTAAATTTATTAACAATTTGAAGTTAAACCAATAGCAATACTAAAACAAGTAGAAGATATTGTTTACCAATATTTTGTTAATCTTGGGTTTTTAATCTTGGTTCCCAGTCCTATATTATAGTTTAATTTAATTGCTTATATTTTAATTTCATGTTTAAGCTTTTCAAAATATTATGAAGGAATACTTCTTATGGTTATTTTAGAATAGCCATTATTTAATATTCTATTATGAAAGTAATGTTTAAAATTATAATATTAATTAATCTTTTTACCTTCATATGCTTTTTAAGTTTGAATTGCTGAACATTGAGGTTATAATATTTGCGTTGAATCATATTTAAAATTTACAAAGTGTAGACTTTGTACCCTTAATTTTCTTTATTGGTGTAAAATATGTTTCAAATTGGGGCCAAAGGGTTAAATCATCTTCACCTGAAGAAGTAAATACTATGGACATAATATTCTTAATTATAAAATAGAATAATATTATTATTATTAACATTTACTTAATTAGATTAACTTTCGACTAAAAATTTAACAACAAGAATTTAAAATAAAAATAAAGAAATGGTAGTTAATATGAATAAAAAACTTGGCTTAAATTATTTATATTAAAAAGTAAATAAAAGTAATTTTATAGTACAATAAAACATGTTTTCCTTTTTTTTAAATATTTTTTAAGAAAAAATTTTAAGTAACGTTGAATAGCATTCCTTTTCTTCAAAAAGGGAACAACATAAAGTTGTTCCTTTTTTCACATTACTTTACAGCACCTTTTTATTTATTTCTTTATAATATTATATAAATATAAATAACTTACTTATATCTTAAAAAGGAATATTTAGAAATTAAAGAAATAAGAAGACAAATAATATAATTTCAAAGACAAATCCTTTTTTTTAGAATGTATTTAAAATTTTGAATCAATGATATTAATAAAAAGCCTCATTTTTTTTTATTAAAAAATTATTGCAAAACATAACATGCTCAATTTGTGTGCGCTATAATACAGCTATTAAAAAATATAAAAATGACTAGGCTATCCAAAGTAAGGCTTGGCAAAAATTGCATTTGTCCATTTATTAATTAAGGCTTTAATTTAATCAGCAACATACATTTCAATTTTTTTTTAATTAGAAAAGTTTATGAAATTTAACACATAATGAAAAAAAAATGAATATATCTGAAAACCAAAGTTTCAAGTAAAATTTTACCAATTTGAAAAAATTATATTTTTATATATCATTAAAATTTTGAATAATGGTTGACATAGAATTTAATTCAAGATAAATATGTCATAACTTATAAGCATAGTTGTACTAATAAAACCTTTTTGCCAATACCAAGGATTTTAAAATAAAATATCCAAAAAAAAACTTAAGTTTATTAGAAGAGAAAAAAAACTATTAAAAGATTTTCTCCAGCCTTCTATTACAGAAAAATATTTTTTATTAGGCCATAATGATTTATAATTTAAAATATATATTAAAGATCTGCAAAGCCTATCCTGTAAAAAATTTTTTTAAATTAAAAGGCAAGGTTTGGAGTTTTTTAAAAAAATTGTAACAAACAAGACTATATTAGGCAATTCAGCAGCCCATGATGCACAATACATAATTTACAAAATGATTGTTATAGAAATAGTCATAGATATAAGAGCCATAATTGAGTCTAGAACAAAATTAAATATTGATAAGCACAAAATTAGTAGAAAAAAATTTAACAGGCCAATTTTTATAAAGCCTTAACAAGCCAAATCTTTGTAAACTTTTTATATCCCAAACAAATTTTTTATACTTTAAGAGGCCAGGCCTAACCATAATTCTGGGATAAAGTAGGTGAGGCTTAGCAGATCTCTAATATTATAAAAAATATATGTCGTGGTAATTCAACCACCTTTGATGATGGTGGTTAAAGGGTGAAGCCCACATAGCACCAATTATATACTGGATGACAAGTTTTATTGGTGAACAAGTCTAAGTATCTTGTGTCAGGATCTCAGGGAGATATAGGGGTCACTGTAAATAGCAATTGTTGCTTGGGGGCTATAATTAAAATATTAATTATTTTTTACTTAAATTCTTTTCTTTATCTTTGATATAATCAACCATTTTAATTCTTTCATTAATGTATTCACGTTTTAGAGTCTTTAAGTGGTCTATATACATATTTTGTAAGATTTTCATTTTGTTGATAAGAATTGTTGAAGTTTCCTCAGCAGTCACATAATCTGATTTGCTGTAGAATGCTATTATATATATTTTTAAAAAATGTAATCTTACTCTAAAATATTTTCTACAGAAATATTCATATTTTCATAATTCAATAAATTATTAGGATTAAATTCATTAATCCATGAATGATTTAAAACATTGGTTTTGGCTAATGTTAGATAATCTGAATTTTTTGTATTAGTATTCATGATGGATAAATAGCGCTCTCTCGAATGTATTTATATTGAAATATAGATGGCGCAAATATATTCTAAATTAATTTAGGTTATTGCCACTTTCAAGGGGCATATTATTTTTTTTATTTTTATTTTTTTGTTAATTTTTTTTTAAATAAATGTATCAATTTTTTATTTAAGATATTTAAAAAAGGGTTTTTTTCCTCAAAATTTTAGTGGTAATATATAGGAATTCTTAATTCCAATTATTCTCAGCGTTTATATATGGGGGATGGAGGGGGGGTAAGAGATTGCCTACAATTTTTTTAAGAAAAAATTTTTTTTAAATAATTTTTAGTTCGAATAATTCATAGTTCCGATTGTTATTAGATTATATATATACAATATGATACTTTCTATACAAACTAATATTATTTCCTCTTTTTTATAAAATGAATATTTTTAAAGTAGGTGTATATACTCAATAAGATACAACTTACGAGTTTTGTCTAAATAACCAATTACTACCGTCAGGAACACAACATGTTGTAATTCCATAATGCGGGTAGTAAAAAACAAGAAGAGTCTGCGATATCGATGCAATAGGTGTCGTAGATCATATTTGATATGGAAAGGTAATATTAATTTTGATATCATAAATGACCAATTTTTGATTCTATTTTTGAAGGGATTCGGAACGTTGGGAAATTTTTAAGACTATTGTAACTTGTACATAAGTACTAATTCTTTAAAAAATATTAAAGAATCAAATTATTTTTAGGCCGTTATACAATTGTAAGTGTTTCGAAGGAAATAGATTATGATAGGATTGCAATTTTTAGATGGTAATAAAGTCAAATATGGTTTTTTTAAATTTCACATATATAAGTTAGAAAAATTTCGCAAGGTATGTAGGTTCCATATAACTTCGAGTTATTCAAAGATGGGGGGCCTGGCCGCGTCTTCGAAATTGATAAAACTCATTTGTGGAAGCGTAAATATAATTGTGGTCGGCGTTTGATCTCCGAAGCTATATGGATTATCGGTGGCATCTGTCAGGAGACAAAAAAAAATATTTCTAACTGATTTAACAACAAGGGATCAGGATACCATACTGCGTGTGGTTAAAGATAATGTAATGCAAAATTCGATGATAATGACTGACTCGTGGTTAGAGTATGTAAATATATTTTTCTGTAAGTTAAAGTGGTGATAAATTTAAATCTATTTATCTTAAATATAATCGGTAAGAACAAACAAATTATTTCCATTCTCGGGTCAATCATTTGCGAAATATTGTTGCAAATGACAGATGGATCCACACCCAAAATATCGAAAGGCTGTGGCAGGATCTAAAAACTAATTGTAAAGACATGGGGATCGAGATAAAATTCATGAATATCTTCTAGAATATAATAGGTATTTTCGAAAATATTGATTATTAAATAGTTTTTATATTATATTCATTTTATTAATGACTATATAAATTTCAATAATATATTTCAACTTAATGAATTAAATTGCGTTATTTAATACTATATTTCAATTTAACCCTTCACTACAAAGGTTATAAAAATCACTTAAACCTTAAAGGTGGGGGCTATTTTTACCCCTAATAAAAAATTTTAGATTACTAATTATTTCTAGATAAAAGTTATGCTAAGTTTCATCTGCCAAAAATTTACCTTACCCCTATACCCCCCTTTAAAAACTTTGTATGTATTAAGTAATTTTCCTAAAGTGCCTAAATATTTTTTTATTTATAGTATATTCCTCTAATTATAATCATCACCAAAATAATTTAAAATGCAAAATTTCATCTACCAAAAATTTTGTAGAAAAAACTATTTTAAAATATCTTAAATAAAAATTAAATTTGTGAGCAAAATTCTCCTACCCCCTCCCTCTCCCATATTTAAAGCTGAGAAATATCAGAATTAAGAATTCCTATATTTTACCCCCAATTAGAGATCTGCAAAGTTAGACCTGGCCCATACCCGGCACGAGCCCGTTATCGGGCCTAATTCTATTTAAAATAATCAGATTCGGGCCGGACGGGGCCTAATATTTAAAAAAAAAATTCGGGTCGGATATTGGAATTTTTTTTCCAATATACCTAAATTTATCAATTTTTTATTGAATTTTTTATGTAAAATAAAAATATTTGACTTTATTTATTGAAACTAAACTACATATAACATATGTCTTTTATTTTGAGTAATTATAAAGATTAATTTATTTAAATAAATTCGGGCCGGGTTGGGTCGGTAAATTTTTTTAAAAAAAATTTCGGGCCGGGCCGGGCTTAAAAAATTAGGCCCGGTGCAGATCACTACCCCCAATACAAAATTTTATAGAAAAAACATTTTTAAAATATAAAAATTTGTAGAAAAAAAAATTTTAAAATATCTTAAATAAAAAATTATATGTAGGCAAAATTTTTTTATCCCCTCCCTCTCCCATATATAAACGCTGAAAATAATCGGAATTAAGAATTCCTATATTTTACCCCTAATACAAAATTTTGCAGAAAAAACTTTTTTAAATATCTTAAATAAAAATTTGTAGAAAAAACTTTTTTAAAATATCATAAATAAAAAATTGATATATTTATTTTAAAAAAAAATTAACATAAAAAAAAAATATTATTAAAAAAATAACATAAAAAAATAATACACCCCCTGAATAACCATTTATATATCAGACTGATCTGATTATTTTTTTCTTTTCGTTTATTTGCTATATAGCGTTTTCTCATTTTCAAAAAATGAAAAATGAAAATCTTTGAAAATCTTTGTTTTATTTCTAATTTTTTCTATCTTCAAGCGTATGTTATTAGAAATGTGGACGATTACTACCCTGATCAAGTCCACATATCAATAGGAGGTATTTATAATTATTGAATATTTGTTAAAACTTATAAATTAAATTTCATGGATATTTACTTTTATTTTCATTATTATAACTACTTCCATATTGTAAAATATTTTATTTCCATGTTTATAAATAAATGACATCATTTTAATACATATTAGATATTTATTTTATTTTGTTAACACAAATTTTATTGATTAGGCTTAACTTTTGGTTTTTAAAGTTTTAGTTCTTTTTTAGTTTTTCCAAAAATATTATAAAAACAAAATTTCAAATTAATGCAATAATTTTCTCTTTTTATGATTACAAACATCGGGGATTTGTAATCTGAGGTTGGGACTTTTCCTCATTCCAAACCAAATTTCAAACATTAAGCTTTATAAACCCAAATTTTGACTGGTCCACCAAGATAAATTTGGAAATGATCAGTCATTTTTACATATCAGTGACTTACAGATTAGGAATGGTATGATGACTTAGAAAATTTAGGATAGGACTAAAAAATTAAGAATCTGGGTATGGTCAAATTTTTAAAATTATATTAAAAAAAATGTTAAAAAATCTTAGAATGGAGGTATAAGATATATATGTGGTGATTACTGCTGATATTTTTGATTTCACTTTAAAAGAATCTGAATAATATAGTCAAAATAAAGGGATTTTAAAACCTCAAAAAATAAATAAAGGCCTAAGCTTGGACCATATAATTTCTAAAATAATTATGGGTGGGGCTAGATAAGAATTTTTTAGAAAAATACTTCTTCTATTTTTCTACTGGGTCTAAAATGTTGGCCTTTGCAGGTTTCTAATATGATTTTTATCCAGTTATAGAAAATATAGAATGTATATTATCTAAAAAATTTGGCCAAAAATTATTGATGATAAAAACTCTCAGTTTCAGAGGAAATGTTCTAATTAGAATGAGCATTAAATATATATCTTCACATATTGGGCAATTATCTAATTAAAATACAATGGTTTCTCAAAATACAAGAAGTTTTTATTAAAAAAAATTATTTTTTACATTTTCTAATGAATAAATTATTGAATATTGTCGATTAATGATATATATACTATTGTTTAAGATAATATTATAAATTCAAATTTATTTTTATTGAATTAAATTTACCAGAGACCTGCAGGCCCGGCCCTAAGCCCGACCCGGGGCCGTATTTTAAATTTTTTAAATATACCTGGGCCGGGCCTAAAAAAATTTTTTTTAAACATATCCGGGCCAGGCCTAAAAATTTTTTTTAAAATATATCCGGGCCGGGCCTAAGATTGTTCCACTTTTTGAAGGCCGATCCGATATTCCCTATATTAAATTGATATCGGCCGATTACCAATCCGATATTATATATAATTTTGCATTCTGTGAAGATACCAATAGTTTTAATTTTTAATACGGATGTACCGATATTTTATGTAGGATCGGATCGGGCAGATATTTCACCCATTTTAAAATATAGGTTATCGGCCAATATTATAAAATTTTCTGATCCGATATAAAATGGCATCTTTAACAAAAATAAAATTTTTTAAAAAAGTTATATTTAAAACCATTTATTTTTATAAATAAATTCGAAATCCATTTTTATGTATATTTTTTTAATAATAATAATTAATTAATAAACATTCTGCCATATTTTTATTTTTTTGCGCATTCTGTTTATAAAAGTGTGAGATAATCTCTTAAGAATCTCTTTTTAGTGAAGCTGGTGATATTGACAGTCACCATCGCCGAAGGCTGACCTCTGATAAATTTGAAATTTGGGTATTTCTAAAAAGAAATCTTCGATATATTAATGTTAAATATTATTTTAATTATTTATTTCAAATTTTATAATGTATTTGTTTATATTCTTATTATGTATATAGAATAATGTTGTTAGTTGTTACTTATTATATAAAAGCGATTTAACAATAAAAATATTTTATATACTTTTAGAATTACAATTAAATTCAATATAAAACTGATCATTATAATATATTCAAATGACATAAGTTATGGTAGAGTTAAATTATAGATGTTATACTAATAAAAAGTATATTAAAAATTAAAACCATTGGTATCTTTACAGAATACAAAATTGGATATGATATCGGATCGGTAATCGGCCGATATCAATTCAATATCGGATCGGGCCGGCCTCCAAAAGTATCAGTACACCTCTAATTTTTAATATACTTTTTATTAGTATAACTTTTATAATTTAACTATACCATAACATATGTCCTTTAAATATATTATAATGATCAGTTATAGTTTATATTCAATTCAATTACAATTCTAAAAGTATATAAAATATTTTTATTGATAAATCACTATATAATAAGTAATAACATTATTAATCTATTTACATAATAAGTAATAAACAAATATATTATGAAATTCGAAATAAATATTTAAATTAATATTTAAATTAATATATCGAAGATTTCATTTTAGAAATTTCAAATTTATCAGAGGTCCAGTCTGCGGAATTGGGGACTGTCAATTTCACTAAAAACAAATTCTGAAGAGATTATCGCACATTTTATAAAGAGAATGCGCAATGTGGCAGAATATTAATTAATTATTATTATTAAAAAATTAAGCATGGATTTCGATTTTATGCATAAAAATAAATGGTTTTTTTTGATATAACTTTTTTTAAAAAATTTTATAACATTTTATTTTTGTTAGAAACGGCATTTATGATCATAACGGAAAATCTTATAATATTGGCCTATAACCGACATTTTAAAATGGATGAAATATTGACCCGATCCGATAAAAAATATCGGTACATCCCTAATTATTATGGGGGGTTTTCCAGAGAAGTACTGACCTTTTCATTTATAAACTGGTACCAATGACCTATACCCAAAGTAATAATTAACTCATAAATTTTACAAAAAATCGGCCTATATTAGGCCATAAATGTTGAGAAAAATAAATTAAAAATTTATAAACAGAAAAGAAAGTAAGTGCTGTGTTTTTACTTTCATGTGTAATTAACTTTAATACATACAAAACAATAAATGTATAATAAAATAAATTATGACTTACAAGTTTAATTTAATTAATATAGATATTTTTATAGCTTAAATTAATAAATAAAAGAATATTTTTGTAGGAATGGATACTGAGAAAAAATCTTATAAATTTTTTTGGGATTATATTTCATTAAAAAAGTGGTATCAGTGCATTTTTTCACTTTTTAAAATGTTGTTTTTTAAAAAAAAATTATTTATTTAATTATGTTGTGAATTATTTTATACTATGGATTTATAAATTATTCCAATCATAAAATTTGGATTTTATATAGAAAACAATGTAAATGATATCTTAGTAATGTGGGTCACATTGACTGACACTGACAAATCGATTGTTGAATATGCTACTGATGGATCAAAACTCTTGTTGCAATCAGGATATTCTGTACCTTATACTTTTACCAATCGCACTCAATACATTCATCGTGTTACCCTAACAAACTTAATTCCCAACTCAACCTACAGTACAAATCGTTGTTTTACATATATTTATTTTTCCAAATAATCCCACATTTCAATTTAATCCTTATAAGACCATCATAATTTTTTTTTTAATTTTGATACTGAAAATTTTATGAAAGAGATTTATTTTAAACTCAATTGAAAAGATAACAAAACGATCACCTGAAAAATTATTATCTTATCTCTTCTATCGTATTGATTCAAAAAAAAATTAATCAAACAATAAGGTCCTTTATTATTATCAAATATTCATACACTTATTCATTAGACAAATAATTTGATTTAAGAATAATATTTTTGCAATTTATCTCCTTAATAGGCGTATCGAAAATTATTTGATGTTCCATTTGTTACTCGTTTCGAAATTTAGGAATAGAAATAACAAATCATAAAAACATCTAATCGAATGCGAATAAATATATTAAAAAATAGATTACGTTTTTAATATTCCAATTAATCCTTTATTTTAGAATTATGTGCAATTATTAGTTATTAATTTATTTTTTTTAATTTAAAGCCACTCTAATAAAATAGTATGTTTTTTTTATTATAAATTATGATACTGATTTCCTTAAAAATTTTCTAAAACCAAATTAAAATAAAATGTTAAGTTATAAAATCAGGATTAGAACAAATATTAAGGGGTCTTCTACATTTTATGAGCGTCTATTTATGGGTAATGATGTACAGCGTTGAACGTTATTTTTTTGTGTTTTATTAAAATTTTAAATAGCGTCATAATTTTATCCTTATATACAAAAAAGATGATGTTTTCGAGTAGTGACTGTGGCTAGTTGGCTCAGTGCGTCGCAATCCGATAGTTCTGGGTTCGAATCCAGTTTTTCTAAATTTAACTCAGTGGTTTCGAACTGGGGGGGGGGCTAATATATAGTAGATCGGACTCGAACACGTGATTCCGTTTATATATATTAAAAAATAAATGAGTCCTTATTGCATTTTAATAAATTTTGATCATTGTTTAGCATATGGCTATATACCGAATAGTCATATATCATTCCCCTCAATTTCTATAAGCACAAATATTATTATCAAAAATATCATATCTCAAAAAGAAGACAATTAAAAAAACTAAATTCCTGAAAGAATGAGTGACTTTTTTTATAAATTTAGTTATTCTAATTATAATTGTATTTTATGTATGATTATTGAATATGCAATAAAATATTTGAATATATATGTAATACCTATTTTTTTTTATTGACGATTATATTATTAAAATATGATTAAAAATCTATAAAATTTAAATATTATATTATAGGGGCATAGATCCTTGACTGGATTATACAATTGGATCTACATATTTCAGTAGATATTCTATGCCCTGAAACTAATATTTTCCTTGGGATCGCCGGAGATATAAAGAGTTTTTAGGAAACGTGATACTTAATCGCCAAAGTTAATTAGAGTAGACGTGACAAAAGGTAAAAATATGGTATTTTCTAGTGAATAATATTTGAGGCGTTTCGGCGGCCTTGATTGAAGAGATATAATGTTTTAATTTAGCGGAGTCTACAGGTATAGTCTCAAATAAGAGGCAGTCCTCTAGCCCAAGAAGTGAGTATTATTCTTTCTAGACATTTGTTTAAGGCATTGAGTCCTGCAGGTATAGCGTTGATGGAATAGAGCCCTATGGGTAATTCCATGACAAATCATCCAGTGTTTCTAACGACATTAAAAATGGATGAAACTTTGAAGGTTAAATAGATTCTAAATTAAAAAAAAACACTACCTAAAATAGAACCGGAGATATGGGCTTTCAAAGCCTAATAATGACGCCATCTTGATCTTAATAAACTCAAATTACTATATAAATATTTAGTCCAAAGTAACAAATTATATATCACTTTATAGCTCATAAAATCCCACTTATGAAAATTCCCAAATTATTTAAAAAATTCTTTAAGTATTGAATTTCCAGTAAAACAAAAAATTTTTTTATAAGGGCAAAATTTTGAATGATGAAACTCATAAAATTTGTTAATTACCAATATATTTAAATATTTAAGTAAAAATATTAATGAATAAGATAAGAATTTATATTTTATTTAGTTTTTTATAATTTTTGCGACTAAAAAAACCAATCAGAGAGCGTTATCGTTAAATATGATTATAATGTATATTTTTAAATAAAAATATGCATTTTATATTATTACCCCTTATGCATGAATGTATATACAAATTTAGTCATACCACACATCTCCAGTTTATATAAAATTCAGGTCTTTAGTAAAGGACGCCATTCATTACATTGCAAATACTCAAAAGGCAGACATTCGCGCCATTATGCAATAAATGCTCTTATACTAGGTAACCTTGGCCTTGAAATATCTCTTGTCCGAATTCATTATAACTCATCAAATTTTGCACTCTGCCTTCAAATGTTCTAGTTAAAAGAGTTTAGTATGGCTAAAAATATACAGATAAACCGAGGTGCATGATAAAATCTAATATTTTATTATTAAAATATCAATTCTTTATCATATTTAATTATATATTTTGTATAATCATTATTATAATTATATATTTGGATGTGATATCAGCTCAATAACTTTTTTAGCTCACTTCAAAATTTGAATTTTAACAATAATCCTAAATTAAGTGTTATGTACATCTTAAGTTACAAATTGTAGCTGTTAGTATCTTTATCCTATAGTTTTAGATGATGTATTTTTAGATCCATTTTTAGACGATGTATCCTTATTAAGATCCTTTTGAAAAGTATTTTTTAACCTCTGAAAATCATCATTAAAAAATTATATAGATATTTTATTTAGCATTCACAAAAATTAAATTAAACATTTTATTGCATATTCATAATCGTATGTAAGAATTATAATTAGAATAACTATTTTCAAAATCTATATTTTAAAAAAGAGATTCTTCTAGATATGCGATTTTTGGTAATCATATTGTTCTTATAAAAATAGATGCCAACGAAATATAAAAGAGCCCTTATTATTTCTTCTCCTTTTGAATTGCGTAATCTTACAATTATTTAAATTAAATTTATTTCCCAGGAGGACCACTCTTTACACTAAAACTACTTAAATTCTTTTGTAAATAACTGATACCATCGTATTCTCTGATTTAGAACGCGTCTAAAATGTTATGAATGTATATATATATATATATCTTTTTGGGATATGAAATTCATGAGGATTTGGAATATTATATCATTTACAGAGGGAGATTTGATAAATATGATTTTATCGGAAATGCATTCCAGCATTTGTAGAACACCTATCCTGTAGATTTCAAACAATTTTCGCCATAAACCTGTATGTAATTTTTATAATTTACATCAAAAATATATATAAATATTGATACAAATTTAATAATACTTTCAAAGTTCTAACACCAAATTATCTGTAATTTACAGTGTGTTGTTCTATACATGTTAGAATACATTTTAGAGCAAATCATATTTTTTTAAATTTATATATTAGTCTTAGTAAAAGATTTAATTTTTAAACGGATTCCCTATCCCAAATATTATGAATTATATTAAGAGTTGAAAGGACTTCACCTAATCTTATTTTTTTTGACATTTCACCATGTAAGTAATTCTGGTTTAATATGGTATTTTTTATAAAGAATAAATTTATACCGATATAGCATTTCAGATGCAGATCTCAGATATTAGTCGATATTTTAATATACCAAATAAGATAAAAAAATTAAAAATGGCCATTCTAATAAAGAAAGAATAATTCTGCATGTTGGATTGAACTGATATTCTTAAAAATGTTAATTAAAAATTGATAATACATTGCAACACATATCCATATTTTTTTACGAGAATAGCTATAGCAATTTTTCCCACGAATTCGAATGAATTTTAATGATCATTGTATGCAATTCCACATTGCTTAACCGAAATAATAATCATAAAAAGGGCCTGAGGCTAAGTGCTTGTTTATCTCCCTGGAAGTAAGCCTGACTTTGGTTTGAGGGAGAAAAAATCTCGAGTTTCTTGGAAATAGGGCAATGGAAGTGATGTAAGATTTTAAGGCATCTTTGATTAAGTAAATCCAAGAGTTTGAAAGTCTTGTCAGATATCTTGCTTAAAGTTAGGAAGATCGAAGGCTGTAAAGTTAGAGAGAGAAAAGATATTCCACTGAGCAGTCAATTTAAGAAGACATGGCCCTTTGAGAATCCGAGATATTATTTGAGGTTTAGAAATGCATAAGGGAGGAAATCCTCAGATGATAGTGTTCTTAGGGAGTGGTATATGAGTAGTGATATGAGAATGAATGGCAAATAAATAACTATTATTTAATCGCCAATGTGCCTAAATATTTATGAGATGACATATTGGTTTTTGTATTACTGATTAAACGGCCAATTTTATCACTTCTATTACGTTATATATATAAAAAAAATTATAACATTTTATGTTCTAGACTAGGCATATTTTCATTTTTTTCCTATTACCTTAAATTATCTTTTAGCATACCATTGTGGTGATCCAAATTTAGCGTGGAGCTCGGATTTTACCCTCACAACTTTTCCATCTTTCAACTCTTCCAATTGGTCTCCTTACTTAATAATCTTTGGAGATATGGGAGTAGGAAATGCTCGAGCTCTAACCCTCATTGAACATGAATTGTCTCCTATGTATTCTGTGCTAGCTGAACCAAAAGGTTTCAATAATCTTTTCTAATTTTAATATTCAAATTGTATTAATTTTAATGAATATTATCGAAATATTGGAAAAAATACTTATAATGTCTTGTTATTATAAGAAATTATGAGACAATTGGAACGGGTATTTTATAAATATGTAAAATATTTTATTTAAATATGTTATCCTCGATCTGTCTTATGATAATAAAATGTGTTATTAAAAAATATACTTCATAAATAAAACTAAGTATGAATATTAAATGTTTATAAAAGTATATAGCCCCGAAGCTCCACCAAAACGAAAAGATAAAAAGTTAATTAACGCTGTCATTCACGCCGGAGATATGGCCTACGACATGCACGATTCGAGAGGGAAACGCGGCGACCAATTTTTACGACAAATCCAACCCATCGCTTCAAGGGTACCATACATCACCTGTCCCGGTAACCACGAAAATCACGGCAATTTTACGCAGTACCGAAATAAGTTTGGCATGCCAGGCGGTCGAGATATGTTTTTCAGGTGATTGATTATGGAATATAAGAAAAGAAGGGAACAAGTTCAAATTAAGAAAAAGTAACGATGGGTTCTAAAATGGAAAGTTTTATTTCGAAGGATACTGAAATAGTTAAGTAAAAGTAAACGATATGTGCTAAAATGGAAAGTTTTATTTAGAAGGATACTAAAATTCTTACATGGAATGCAAGAATGTCATGGAGATTTTATTTAATATTAATTCTGGACATCATTATTATGTTGTATAAAGATGTAATTTATATTATCTTATATTGAATGTTGGAATTAAAGTTATGCGTAGGAAACAATAAATCATGGTTAGTTTACTTGTTTGATTTATTATAGAGTCAAAAAGTATTATTAAATGTTTAAAGGTTTTCTGAAGTATCCTTAATTATGTTGGGAACCTTCTTTATCAATGCATTAAATAAATTTACTGATGTTAAGTAATGTTGATGAAAGTAACGTCGTTATCTTTTTGAGGAAAAGGAACGACATTCGTTACTTGTTACAAAAGATAATGCCAGTATCTTTTTTTGAGTGACAGTAACGCAAAACGCACTCGTTACTTTTTGTTTTTTCTTAAAAAATCTGGAAAAAATATATTTATTATATTTTTTTTAATTATCAAGATAATTTAAGCTGAGTTTTTACTTTTTAATTCAAATCAACCACCAAAGTTCCATAATTTATTATATTTTTGTTGTTAAATTTTATACAGTCATGAGATAATATAATTAATGTTGAATCAATCAAAGTATGTTAATTTACTCTCTCTAATTAATTTATTTTATAAAGATTATATGTCAATAGTACTTATTTCTTCAGATAAAGATGATTTAACTTCTGCCCTGGCCTCAGTAAGAAACTTTTTTAACAAAAAAAAAATCTTTGACACTAAGACTACTTTATATTGTTTTGAAGATAAAGATTCCTTAAATATTTGTAATAAATTCCCACAATTAAATTTTATTTTTTATTTATTACATATAATATAACCATCCCATCCTCTGCACCAGTTGAACGCGTGTTTAGCTCCGCGAACGCTGTGTTGAGGAGCCTAAGCGCTCTTGTTTATCTGATAAAAATTTTGAAAATCAATTGTTAAAAATAAATAATAGCTTATTACAAAATGAACTTATTTTATAATTTATTATTTTTGTATGATTATATTTTTTTTATCTATGGGAAAAAAATATATATATTTAATATTTTTTAAGTAACGCGTTACTTTTTTTAAATGACCAGTCTTACATCACTAATTAAATCACTATAGTTTTTAAACGGGGGAACACAATGAATTTTCTTTTTTAAATTATTATTTTCTCTTTCTATGCTGTTATAATTAAAATTATTTATTTAAAAAAAAACATTTTATAGCTTCAATTTGGGCCCTGCTCATTTTATATCCTTTTCCACAGAGTATTATTTTTTCTATCGATATGGATTTTGGCAAGTCAAGAAACAATACGAATGGTTGGAAAAGGATTTAAAGGTTAAATTAATTTGTATATTTTTATGATAGTAAAAAATATAATTTAAAAGAAAGGATAAGAATCTGAGCCCTAACTAAGGGGTTACATTTGGACAGCATATCCCTTTCATAAATCAGCCCTTCCACCAAATTTTTGGAAATAAAAAAATGGGTTTATTCCATTTAAAAATGAGCGAATATTACATACATTTTTCTTATACATAAATTTACTATAATGATAATCATTAATTCATAATATAAAATTTATGTTATTAAACTACTAGTATTATTTGTCTTGAGAGTTATACAGAAGTATTATAGATATGAATATTCATATAGTAGGTTTGATAAGCTTATTTTGAATTATTTTTTTCATAATTTATTTATTCCAATTCATGTTCGGACAAGATATTGTGTAAAATTAAAATACATTATATAATATATCTATAAATTAAGGAAGCTAATAAGCCCGAAAATAAAGCCAAAAGACCTTGGATTATAACGTTTGGGCATAGACCCATGTATTGTAGCAATAGAAATGTCGACGATTGCACCGCTCATAGTAGCAGAGTAATTTTATTTTATTATTGGTATAATTGCAAATGTTTCCTATGAATTAATATATTATATCATACTTTGGTAATTGAGCTTATTCAACAACAAAGGAAGATTTACAAAATCTAATAAAAAATTCCTCAAAATCTGTATCGTTATTTACCATTTTAAGAAAATATGAATCATGATATTTTCGTAAAGATCCTATATTGATTTTAACAATTTGTTAAAAAACTACAATTATAAAATACAATTTGAGAATAACTAACAAAAATTAAATTTGATAATAAACCCAACGGAAATATTTCATATAAGATAATTATATAAAGAAAGGGATCTACAAAGATAATATGTGGATCCTCTTGATTATTACATAGGATTTCCACAAGATTCCCTATCATATCTGGCTAGTTAAAACTTTCAAAATCCCATTCCCTATAGAATAAGTTTTTTGCATTTCTTGAGATTTTGATAGTTTTCATCAAAGAAGTTTATTTTTAGATAAACTTGTAGCTCTGATCTTTATTTTAAAAAATATCTAATATTATTATTTTCATTATTAATTTTTCTTTATTGCAATATTTCCAATCGAACTGATACCCTTTTTGTTCTAGCAATAAATCTTTTTAAAAAAATTTGTAGATTGAGAGGGATAAATTATCAATGTTTTCTATAAATTTTATTAAATTCTATTGACAGTTTAAAGTTATGCACATTCAAAGTTGGACAAACAATATTCGAACTTTCCAACATTTTGGTCGAATTATAAAGTTTAATAATAAAAAAAGGGGGGGGGGGGGAGAATTTAAAACGACCAATTAAGATTTTACCAAAATTATATTATGTAAGTCAGAAAATTTTGCTCATAGATGGCAGAAAGGTTTGAACCTCAATTTACCAAATCTAGAGGCTTACATAGTATCATTTTAGCTGAAATTTTAATTGGGCCCTTTTTAAAATCGACCCAAATGGGCGTTTAACGACACTACCAACATGTTAAAAGTAATTTTTTTATTAAACTTATCAATATTTAATTTGAGTCAAATGTTATACTAGCAATCGATTAGTTGCAATTTGTTTTTTTCTCATTGAAACTGCAACGTACACTATCTTTTTGCAGATTTACTTGTAGAATGACTGTAAACAGCTTTTCATCCATGAACCATATGAAATGAATTAACCTATGAGGGTATTTTCTAGTGATGTTAAAAGTTACTTTTGAAACATAACTAGTTACTAGTTACATTTTTACAAAAGTAACTAGTTATTAGTTACAGTTATTTTCAAAAGTAATTAGTTACTTACTTTATACATCATTCATATGCGCATTATTTATTTATTGAATGCATTAATTTAATATAAAAAAAATTAGGATAAACAAAGTATAATCAGTTATTTAAAATAATATACAATTTATTTATATTAAAAAATATCGCAAAATTGAATATTTATATCAAATATAAAAATATATATTTGCATTGAAAAAAAAACATTTATTTTTCATAAAAATTAGAATCTAATAAATGTTTATTTGCTTTTAACAACAAATTAATTTCAAAGTTATCATCTAGGAGACGTGCTCGTTTATCTCCAAAAATGAGCTTACCTAGACTGAACAAGCGCTCTACGGGAGCACTTGATGTTAGAACAACATTATATTTAATAAAGAGTAATTTTAACTTTGGAAAATCGTTATATAAAGAAAAAGTCTTGTTATTAGATTTGATAAAGTTTTCTATAAGTTCATTATCCAGAATATTTTGGCGCTTTAGGTCAAAAAATCCAACTACATCAAGTGATGTTGGTTTTGAGCATGATTCATTCGTCTGGGATTCACTTTGAGGTATTAAGGTAAATTTGAACGGGAAATTATAACAATCAGACAATTTCACAAAATTTTAAATTAATAAATTTAATTTAAAAAATAAATTTAATTTAAAATTAATTTATCACAACATATTAAAAATAAAATTAATTATTTGAATATATCTTTAAAAGTAACTAGTTATTTTTGGCAGTTACATTTCAAAAATTATAACTAGTTACAATTTTAAAAATATAACTAGTTACAGTTATTTTTTAGCCAAAATACAAGTAACTAGTTACCTTAACATCACTAGTATTTTCATATAAGTTGTTTGGTACATACCAGAGGGCAATCTTATTCACATCGGTTAGGTCCTAAGCTTGTTTCTTTTTAAAACATTTCAGCTGCAGCTTTTTGTGGATAATCCGATATACTTATGTGTTTTCGGAATATTTGAAGAATTGCTCTGTGGGTGCAAGGTCGGTCTTCTTAGCTCAATACGTGGGTTTCAATAGAATCAACAATGAATTTTTACATCTTGTTTGTATAATTTTGAATGTGCATAACTTTGGATCCTATTGATAGAATTTAATGAAATTCGCAGAAAACATTCATAGTTTATCCCTCTCTCAATTTATAAAATTTAATTGAAATGAAACACAGTGTATTCATTTTTTTTCAAAGTTTAACCTAGTAGTTGTTTCGATTATTAATAAACTAGACATATATTGCTTATTTATTAAATTACATTTATAAGAGTAGAGATTCGACATATTAAAGATTTAATATTTATAGATTTCTATATGTTTTAACAATTATCTATTTTATTGTGGCCTTACCCTTGTAAAATAAGTAATATAAGGATAAAATTATAAGTCGTTGCAAAAATGATATTGGATTTGTTTTGATTGGTATCGGTCAAAAAATTAAATCAGTCAAAAAATTAGATCAGTGCATATGGTTGGCCAATGTTATATTTTTGATAAAAATGATTAACAACCAAATAGTAAATTGTTCTAACTTTCTTTTCTAATGCGACTAACCCTTTGTTTTTATATGAAATTTTTATAGCACATTCTTAATTTTAAATAACTTTAACTTGCATCATATATAAAAAATTCATCAAAGGTTAGGACGGGTATACCATTTTTTCGTTGGTATGGTCTGGAAGAATTGTTCTACAGATACAACGTGGATTTAGAAATATGGGCACACGAACACGATTATGAAAGATTTTGGCCTGTTTATAACTATCAGGTTTTTCAGAAATTATTTATTTGATACCTTTTTAGCGTATCTTATAGTTCTATCGGTTGAATAGGTATTGACTGTGCAATTTGTTAATTCATCTCATTTTTAGAATAATCTATATCATAAAAAAATTAAAAAATACAAGTTTATATGATTTTAGGCACAGGTTTTTTTCAAATTTGACACTTTTAAATTATTAATTGATAAACCTGTTTGGAAATTTATTGCTCAGAAATTTTAAATTCTTTATTAATTTTATTAAAATTATGTTTATTCAGTTCACACTTTTACTATAAGTGTCATTTAATGTTATCTTTTCTTAGGTTAAAAATGGGACTGTATCATCTAATCCTTACCACGAACCAAAGGCGCCCGTTCATATTATCACTGGATCTGCTGTGAGTTATAATCATTCATTTATGCTAATAAAATAGCTTTAATAATGCGATTTATTTTGTTTTATAACCCTAGATAAAGAATTATAACAAAATATTTCATTGTGTTATACAACAATTATAATATAAATCTTGTATTTCGTTTTTAAAAGAAATCACTAGTTTATTACAGGAAAATGAGTATCAAAGATATAAATAATCTGATATTTTACACTTAATAAGGGTTGTTCTGAACAACACGACACCTTTGTAGAAAAAGCACCGGTTTGGTCGGCTTACAGAAGTTTGGATTACGGTTACACAAAAATGCTCATCTCCAACCTCACTCACTTGTACCTGGAGCAAATTTCGGTCGATAAGGTTTTCTATTTTTTTTATCAAGTTGGAATTAATTAATGAATTATCTTTTTTAGGGCTGTGCCGATATTAAATATCGGATCGGCACCGATATATAGCGTTTTCCAGAAATATCGAGTCGGACCGATACCTGTAAAAACCCTGATCCGATCTTTTTACTTTATTTTATGTATATTTATTTTACATTAATAATATTTTCTAAATAATTTTTTTTTAAATAATGAAATTTTATTTATTATTTTAAATAGATTTATAATATTTTAAAAGTTTGTTTATAAAAATAGAAAGGAACACCCAAAGTTTTATTTATTTTAAATAATGAAGCCAATTTTATTATTTATAATTAAATATTTACAAATTTCTAACTAAATTTATTAAATTAAAATAATTATTAAAATTTATAAGTTTTTTTTTCTTATATTCTACTTCTTTGCTATACTCATTACTAAACATATATATGGCTCGGGTGTAGTTCCACCCTCATATAACCTCATATCTGGGTTACAAAGTTGTTGGTATCCTTGAGAAAATCGGCATAATTATATGAAGGATGAGCCTTCATATAATTCACTTACGCTCACCTTTGGGCAGGTCTATAATCAACGTTCAAATAAAGAATTTATACTTTAAATAAAAGAATTTTTTTAATATGGTATCTGAATTATGGAAATATTTTACAAAAGACAAAGATAATTTTGCAAAATGCGTTTTCTGCAATTCTAATTTACGGGGAGGAATAATGAAAAATTCATTTAATACTACCAATATCCGTAAACTTTAATTATTGTAGTAATAAAAAAAATTAAATTAAATGCATAATTCGATTTTTTGCATAAATAATATTGATTTCTTAATTACATTTCGTTCAAAGGGGGTGGTGAAAAATCAATATAAATCGGACTGTTTTGAACCAATATCGGATCGGTGAAAAATATGTAGATCGGCACAGCCCTAATCTTTTTGTTTATATATAATAATCATGTTTCTATATTTAAAAAATTTTTTTATTTAACTTTTATAAATAAAGCATATAATCTTTACTTTTTAATCAATTAATTTTGTTGTAGCAAGGTAAAATTATTGATAACTTTTGGATGATTAAAGAAAAGGATGATCCTTATGAAAAAGATGAGGATCTCAATGAGATCTAATAAATTTTAAAATTTATTATGTTTTATTTTTCTTAAAAGAATATTTTGGTCGACATGCAATTTATATAAAATTACATTCAATTATTTAATATATTCTTTTATAAAACTGAAGTAATAGATTTATTTACAATATATTTAAAATTATTTATTTAAATTTATTATTTATTATTAATAATATATTTATACACTTAATATAGTTATACAATAATGCATTTTTATTTATTAATGTTTTTTTTCAAAAATATTTTTAGATATTGCATTTTCATATTGAAAATAATATTATGTAATTTTTTTTTATTTACATTTTATAGGCTTAATCCATAACAAACAAAGAATTTTAATAGAATTATTTTTCAAACAATTTGAGTTATATAATTGGGCCATAATTACCGTTCTCATTATTAGCCAGGAATTTCCACTTTGGGGGCAACATATTTTTAAATTTTATTTTATATATTTAGTCTATATCAAGCTAAATATTCTACCACTTCTATTTGTAGTGCTGGTTATGAAAATATGAATGTAATTGAAATGAGTTATGTTGTGACTAAATTAATTATTATTCTTTGAGTGAATTTTTAAAATATTTTATTCAATACTTTCTTATAAATTTTTTTTAAAAAAAACATTTTCCTTAATAAATGACAAATATTATCTAATATGGGAAGAAAAAAATCAAAATATTAATATCTCAAAAAATTATCAATTTTGCCCAAAACCTTTCTCAAAATGTGATTACCATCCTGTAGCAAAAAATAATAAATCAGACCTATGCCTCCTAATACATGTTAATTTCCTCGATCTTTTATTAGCTTTAATTAATCGTTGAAGATTAATATTCTATATATACTTTTTATTTTTATGGGAATATATTTACATTATTCTATGTGGTAATTTGCAGAATATGTATATACAGATTATTGGCGAATATTTTTGAGGGTCTCCTCTATATCAAATTATTCTTATGGTTAGTTGAATAATTTTTTCGATGCAATTTTGCCATTAAAATTTTCACAATATTTTAATTTTTTTGTTAAATATAAATACCCATAAAAAAAGTAATTTATTTTAAACCCATTGTAATACTTAATTGATAAAATAATAAAAAGTTACCCCTCGTGCTTCTCTGCTTATTCAGACTGATATTTATTTAAAATTTGTTGATTTGTTTTCTTCTAAGAATTGAAATTTATAATATCTTTTCTGCAGTATTTTTTTAAAAATAATTTATAAGTGGTATCGGTGTATCTCCTTGTTTATTTTATGTTATTACAATGTTCCATATAAAAAAAAAATTATACACAGGTAGACTGCAAGTTGAGTTCGGATCTAAAAAAATATAATAATTCTAAGTCGTGCTTGATTCTTAGAATTAAATCCTAAAAATGTGTTGTAGCGCTCAACCTGGCTAATTAATAATCAGAGGCTTTGCTATTTTTTTAAAAATTCAGTCGGCAGGATAGTAGGAATTGGGAACCATACAAATATTAAACCTTAATATCTATTGAAACCACCAAAATATTAAAATTAAATATATTTTCAATCATTCCAATTTCCTATACAAGTTATATATTTCAATTTAAAACAGGAGTTAATCAAATATGAATATGACATTTATTATTTTTAAATTTAGCTATGTTAAAATTTAAAAAAGATAAGATTTTATGTTTTTAAAGTTATAAATTTATACATTTTGACGATTAAAACACATTTAATTAGATGGAGGTTTATTCAGTGCAATGTTCTCCTAATAAAAATTTCTATTCTCCTGACATGGCTAAGGGAGATGGCATCCATATATCACTTATTTTTTGAAAATTTATGATATTTTATTTATATAGATAAAAATAAATCTTTTTGCTAAAATAAAAATTTATCCTCATATTTTTTTCGTTCCAAAAAGAGTTAAAAAGCTATAAGAATATATAAAAAGCAAAGTGATGGATTATATCGCGTTAAAAAAGTAACGCCGTTACACCCCCTTGCCAAATCTTGTAATGATATAATTTTAAAGGCGCGTTATTTTTTTGTTTTTCTTTACTTTATATTTTAATGTTAAAGCTATATATTTGGAAAATCTTAAACAATTTTCAAATATCAAAGGTGGAACATACAATAAATACACCCATACCTGTTGAACAAATGTTCAGTATAAGATAAAAGTTGTGTTGATAATTATTTTTATTAAAAAGAATTCAATTTAAAAAGATTTGTTATGTATATATTTACCATATCAGAATTTATTATGTTTAGATAAATTGATGAAACAAAAACACTATAAATCTTTAGAAGAAATTATGCAAATATATTGAAACCTTGAGTTATTTACACTGCAAGGATGCCATATTAGAAATGAAACATTTTGTAACTATAAAATAAGAACCAGAGTATCATTAAAGAAATTAAAATTTTATATTTTATTGTCTCACCATCTCTACTTGGTATATTATATCTTAAAATATGTAATAATATCGAAAATATATTTGCATTGAAAATTTAACTCAAAACTGTTTTTCGAAAAAGAAAAAAATAGCTTTCCTAAAATCACGTTAAAAAAGAGAAGAAAAGATATCAAATTATTACATTTATTGCAGAATGATTAATAAAATGTTTAATTTTTTAAATTATTTATAACTAAATAGATGGCGTTAAATAGTTGAATGCAAATTGTTACTTGTATTTATAATCAAAAGCATTTATTAGTAAAGTTTTAAAAATATTAACGGTAATATATTATATAACTGTCAAATAAGTCTGCAAAAGTGCTATTTTACCTAATATTTTATTAATAATTATATATAATAGAGGATTATAAAATATATGTCTACTTACTTTTTATAAATAAATCTCTTATACTTATTTGGATTTGGACCTTGAAAATAATTTTAGAAAGAGACATGATAATTAAATTTAAAAATCAATAATATAGTTGATTAGTGATGTTAAACTCGGCTAATTACAATATTAAATTTGTTAATTTACAATAATAAATGATTATATTTATTTAATTAAGGTTATATAATTATTTAAATAATAAAAGTCAATTAAGCTTCTACTGTTAATGCCAAATTAATATTTAGTGAGTGATATTGATATTCTATTTTTAACACAGAATTTGATCGCAAGTTGGCATAGTGAAAATATAATTTATATGTATTAATCTAATCTAATAATTAAAATAGTATTCATTTAATAAAAATTTAGATAGCCTTATTAATTTTTAAATAATAAAATTAAATCTATATATTACTCAATAGAATTATAAAAGAAATCGCTCAGGGAGCAATTAAAAAAATTTATTTTTAGTTCAAGGGGGCATTAAGAAGTCATTTTAAAAAAAAATTTTCTTCAGGGGGCTATTCAAATTTTTCAGGGGGCTCGAGCCCCTGCGCCCCCCCTAGCGACGCCACTGTCTTATATATTACAAATTAATAAGATTTTTTTATAAATAAAAATAATTTTTAATCACTTAAATCTATTAATTATAAACATGACTAATATATTGTTACGGTATCCATTTATATTAAATGAAATTAATAATAAAAACGCGTAAGGTGAACGTGACCGTGTTAGAAATGTTTACAGCGCTTGGTTTTTATAAGAAACTTATATCGAGTGATGAAATAAAGGGAAACAATTTATGCAAACTTTTTTCATCATAAAGGTTTCGGTGCTTTAAATAGTCTAAAGTAACTCGTAACTTTTAAAAAACGAAGTAAAAACTATTTTTTTTATTTGACATCATTATTAAATTGACATGTTTATTTTAATTTATCTAAATTTTTAAAATAGACTTAGCGAGGGGATGCTTAAACATTTGGACTGTAATCTTAACAGGTGTGCTAAAACCCCTGTTGGCCAAGTTAATAAAATAGATGTGGGTGTAGGCCATTTATATAATTTAAATAAGTTATTCTCAGCCAGATTGAAATTTTGTATCTTTAAAATTTGTATACATTACCAATATCTCACAGAGTTGTTAAAGTATCTCTAGGTATATAAATGTTGTCCCTTATTTAATCTAGATATATTATTAGCTAAATCCATTCTCATTTTGTGTAATTTATTTTCAAGTTTATTTCTTTGCAAATAAACAAATTTTATTTTACACAATAGATGACCCAAAAATAACAAGGTAAAATATATAATGATCAATTAAGTATATGCAATATTAAATTGGAAATTTGTTATTGAAAGTTTACATACTTAGGTGTCTAAAGTAGTGCCATTGGTATCGTCTACTAATTGTCTTATCGATCATTGTATTATAGGGGATTTGTAGTTTGATCCAAAAATAAAAAACTTATATAAACATTTCCTGAATCATTTTGGCAAGTTAAACATTATTATATTTTTTTTTAAATTAGCACATAATTAGTAGAGGATTTGTGGTATGTCAAAAAATTTAGTCATTTCTATATTTTAAATTTTTATAAAAAACTTATATTAACATCTTCTGAATCATTTTGATGTGAACATGATTCTATATTTATTTTTTTTAAATTGAGGCTTAATTTGTAGGAGATATGTAGTTTCATCATATAAATGTTTTTGCAATATTCTACTAATTTAAATAATTTCTAAAAAAAAAGTAATAACATTATCAGAATCATTTCAAAGATCTAAACATGATTCTCCATTAATTTTGTTTAAATAATTACCAAGAATTAGTGTATTAGTAGTTTGTTTAAAAAAATAAATGTTTTTGCAATATCCTACAAATTTAAGTAATTTCTAAAAAAAAGTAATAACAATATCTGAATCATCTCAAAGAGCTAAACATGATTCTTCATTAATTTTGTTTAAATTTACCAAAAATTAGTATGTATTAGTAGTTTTGTCATGAAAAAAAGTGTTAATATTTTACTAATTCATTTTTTTATAAAATTTTAAAAAGCATTTTCTGAATCACCTTGAAAAACTAAATATGATTCTGTATTTATTTTATTTTGTGCCTATTAGATAATTGTGTCTGAAAGCCTTTCTAAATGAGAAATAGGACATTATTTCAGAACAGAAATAAAAGGCCTCAATGTTTATCTTTCAGGCCTCTGAGCCTATTTAAGATAATTTAAATATTTTATTTAATAAAAAAATAAGGGTTATATTGAA